ATTCCGTGTACAATATCTAATTTTAAACATAAAACATTATATCAACATGTATGTAAGTCCCAGGTATTGTTTATTTAGGTGAATTACGATGTCATAACAGCTTTTTGTCAGAATTTAATTTAATGATTTGGTTTATTGATAAAGATACTAAAAATTGTGCAACTTATTACGATGAGCAACGTTTTACTTTTACGGGAGAAGGTTATGAAAAGTTGTAACAATGTGTGACCACTACCTTGTTCAGATTTATTCGGAAATGAAATAGTAAACAAGCTGATTGAGATTTATCATAATATTTGTTTGAATATGGAGAGAAGAAAGATACGTGTATTGTCTTTTGTGACTTCTCAAAGACCTTTGATAGAGTTTGGCACAGAGGTCTAATAGCAAAGCTTCTTCTTCACTTATTCTGATTTCCAAATTCGTTTTATGGTATAAAATGTACATATATGTCTATTGTCGCTATCACATTGTTTATTGAGGAGAGGGCTTTAATAAGTTGTAATAACTTGTGCCCAATCCTCTTGCTTGAATTTAGAAGCATTAAAATATGTTATAATTAAAATGAAGTATGTTGAAAGAAAAGAAATCTCAACGATGCCCAACCACTTGTACGCACCAAGTCCCGCCTGATATTGAAAGCGAAGTTGATTGGCACACGAGACGTCTCTGACGAGACAGAGCTTACCAGATACAGTGGAAATGTTCAATGGAAATGTGTTCTAAATTGATGCAAATTGGAAACGTTTTATTGTGAAAAACATCTGCGTTGCTGTCAGGTTTTATTAGAACAAGAAGTCTATTGTCTACTATTACGGAATTAGATAATCAGTTTTGACCACATCAGCCTTTGAAAATTGAAACTTAACCCGGGCTACTCAAAATACTTGATAATAAAAGCACGAACTTACTCCGTGATAAAAGTACATAATTTGTGATGTATACTTGGCTTGTATACTTGGCTCAGAGACATATAAATTTAAAGCGATAGTTAGAATCACTTTCTTCTCCTTGGGCTACCTGGACGTTTAATCATTATGAAATGATAAATTAATTCCATATAAGTTTTGTTTTGTCTTCTCATTGAAAAGTTTTAGAATTCGTCTCAATGCAAGTGACTTTCACTTTCGACTTTCTTCATATCATTAAAGCGTTTCATCGTTTTTCTTTCTTCTTTGCATATACAATTGATATACAGTATTGTTTTTATAGAACAGATAAGGCCTATGTGGTCAAACAATCCAACATATGGACTTCAATATTTATTTACGTAAAACACGTATTTCAATTAACTTATATTTACATATAGAATAATATTTAATTTTCAGACTGATGCCCTTTTTGAGTTGGAAAATTGCGTATTTTCTTTGAAATATATTAAGAAGTTTCCTTTGATTGAACTGTTAAGCGTTCACATCGTCTGCACACCAATAAGTACAAGAACAAAGGATTAATTCAACCTTAATGACTTTTTTTAAGATCGTAGACGTGATGGGATTGTAATCGACCGTTAACACCAATTAATTCACTCAAAATATATTCAGGTTATTATAAAGAGTTGTGTATAAGTTATGAAGTTATTAAAATTTGGTCATCATAATGGCATTTTCAATGTTTCATGTGTTCTGACATCGTAATAACAATGTCATATATATAAATGAGAAAATAACCCAGAGACATATTTATTATATATGTAATATATAATTCTCTGAACAACCTTTTTTTTACAGAATAAAAACAGAGACATATATTGGAACCTCGGCCGGGCAATTTATATATATATATACACAATTTGCAATTCTTTAATCAACTATATCTTATACCCGATAAGGATAATTAAATATATACAATAAATCAGGGATGTGTAGTGTTGAAATTAGATATCACAGTTTAATCTGAAATTCATTTTAATTGTTATTTTGAAGTCCTTCACTCTTAGATTCCAAAATGGTCCCNACCCCTGTAAATCGTCGCCCGTTCCTGCCCGATCCATATCAATACAATACTCTTAATTCGTTGCAATTCTTTTATCAAATACATCTTATACACGATAAAAAAATATATAATACTATAAATATAGGTATCATAAGTAATAACGACATACATGTACATATATATGTATAATTTAGTCCGATTCTGCCCCGATCATGTAATTGCAATCCTTTTATCAAATGTATCTTATACCCGATAATGATACTTAAATATATCTAATAATTAATAGATTTCTGCTCGTTCCTGCCCATTCCTGCTCGTTCCTGCCCTGCCTGTAAGTCGTCGGTTCCTATAAACGCAGCGTGGAAGCATCCAAAACAGAAGACATGGCAGTTAGCTATAGGCCTAGGTTGCATAGTATCATTTGGAACTCCCGAACAATTAATCAGCTGTTCATGTTCCATAGGAGAAATACATGCATACAGGTAAAGAACATTTAATTTGAAACACGAGAAAGAGATGTAACGGTCATACCGGGGTTCGAACCCGGGACCCTCCGAACTCTAAAACAAGATCTGAATTTTTAAATATCACTGAAAAACTGTCAAAATTGTACTATATTGTGGAAGCGTGCTGTTAGACCTACGGCCTACCAATTGAGCTACCCTGTTGTCGACGATCGACCCACTCCAGTTCCGCTACATTCCTCTCATGGTCCTTTTCCTTAAAGTCTTCGCTTTTAAATTACAATTAAAGAACAAGAGCAGGTGCGTTTAATTATGCCGTCGCTGCCGCAGCGTCCATTGTCTCTCAACTATTCCTTTGAATGACTTCTTCTGGAGAAAGTAAAGGCCTAGCATCCACATGACATAGATCTAGCAGCAGCAGGTAGCTTCATTAGAGCCCAACAAAGCTCGGGGGAAATGACCTTAACCTACTTTCAAGGTCACAGGGGTCAATTGTGTCCCTAAAAAACAAAGCGATTTTTCTGAAGAACTGAAAGGCAAAGAGTCATGATATTTTGCTGGTAGTAAGTTAGTAACCAGATTTATGGAGCCTGACAAAATTTGTGAATGAAAGTATATCCTTGACCTATTCTCAAGGTCACAGCTGTATGCAGATACTTCATAAACTTTAAACAACTTTTTCTGAAGAACTTGAAGGCATTAAGTCATGATATTTGTCTGGTACCTTCCTTGGACAAATATGTTATTCTTATCGAATATTAAAAGATTAAATAAATATACAATTTGTTCTTGTCAGTAAAGTGGATCCTTATATATATATCCTTCACTATGCTGTCCAAATTAGTTTTATCACAGACTAAGATAATCTAATTCTGTGGTTTTATAGTTACTGCTCTGTGGGTGTGTCATGTCAACGCAAAGAATCAACGAATCAAATTCAGTTTTTAACCGCGCACATCACAACGCAACTAAAGATCTTTTTAGAAAGTGAAATTCTATAGGAATTTAAGATTTTAGTCATGTGGCATATATCTTGTTATTCACCAGTCTCGGCGTTTCAATGTCATGAGGGAGTGGCATAGGCGTGAAAGATATAAAGTGATTGAATTTACCTGCGTGATTGAAGTTACCAGACTTTCCCCTAGATGCAAAATATGAAATTCACCGTTAAAGAACGTAATTTAAATTATCACTTATATTAGAAATGTAGGTTTGAGCATTAGAACAATATATGATCTATTTGAAGAGTTTCTGTCCAAAGTGGACATAAGGTTATTTTCATGTGACATTTCGTCTTTTTCTTCCAGATGAGGGAGGTAATTCACTCTCACCAAGGATATCTGTCTCAACAGATTAAATACTTTCGACAAGTAATGGATGAACCATCTAGATCTGTCATCATGGCTGCGGACAGTGTCCTTAATGGACTAGATTTTCAAAAGGTCATTAGTAAAATATGGTGCAGAATGAAACATGGATTCCAGCAAAAATATTTGATTGAGGCCAAACAAACATGTGTTAATGTTGATCCAGGTGTCCAAATACAAAGTGAATTAACAAATTCTGTGTTAAGGTGTGAAAATGGAAATGATATGGGGTCAAACAGTTGTGACAGTTCTGATCAACCCCCGGCGGTCGAGGCGACATCCACATCCTCGAATGTCACAGAAACGTCCAATACAAATTCTGGTTGTAGTGGTCACAAAAAAGGAAAACAGAAGCGAAAATTGCCAAGATCTAGACTTGAAGTGAAACCAAATACTAAGTCTTCCACGGCGGAGATATCTTGTCATAGTAATGAAGAAAATACAAGGAATAAACCACTAATACCATCTCCGGATCAATACCTAGCTCTGGACTGTGAATACCTTAAAAATAGTTCTGAAGGATCCATCACTAAATTGGGTATACTTACTGCTATGACATTTTGGTTCATTTAATAAAAATTACTTGCCAACCTTTCATTAGCTAAGATCACCTGGTCTGAAGGTCTTAGATGATGAATCTCAACAATTCATCAATACTGTGTTTATTGTTTACAATAGCACTTGAAATATATTGAAAATGTAAGGAAGGAGACGGGATAATATAACTTATATTTATATTGAGTATATACAGTATTAACTCATTAACCCCTGAAATTTCATAATGAAGTATTCTAACATTTGAATTGGAAGAGTTCAATTGTGTCTTCAGGGGTGAATTAGTTAAAGGCTATTCAAGTATCAAGGGGTCAAAACAAACTTAATTTTGTAATTATAAGTGATCAAATCTTTTTCTTGCTAAATCAGAAACTCGCTCTAAAAACTTCAAAATATTTAAAATAGATCAAATAGATCATGGATCACAATCGACAAATGAAATGGGGAACAGATAATGAAAAAGACAAACAGTCAATGATGCATAAGGAATAATAAGGAGGTCATTAATTATCTGTTGTCACCATCGTCATGGCTATCAGTATTGCATGTTTTTAGAGAGGCCAAGGGATCTGTTTGAAGAAATTGGCATAATCTTCAAAGTGCTAGTAGACATTTTAATTTTGAACCCTAGGCCTGGTATGAGTGGTATCCTTTATTAGGCCAAAAAACAATTAACTTTTGTTTCTGCTATCATCCTCAGAAAAAAAATATGGTAGGTAGGTAAGTAGGCAGGCAATTTTATTATTTTGGAAATATTTTTTACTTTGCTTATTATAAGTTATATAGTGGATGTGAGCTCGAGTTCTGACTTAAACAGTGCATATCACTAAATGCCAATAAAAACTTTGGGGTATGCACAAAAATCTAGGGTAATTGGGGTTAACGGAAACACATAATTTTTAGCTCACCTGGCCCGAAGGGCCATGTGAGCTTATCCCATGGTGCAGCGTCCGTCGTCCGGCGTCCGTCAACTTTTTCCTTTAAAATGCTACTTGTCCTGAATGGCTCAGAGGATTTTGACCAAATTTGGTCAGGAGCATCATTGGCCAAAGGGTTCTCAGTTTTGTATAAACGGAGGGTATAACCCTCCTGGGGGCAGAGGGGCGGGGCCAAATAGGGGGAAAATAGGTAAATCTTTAAAAATCTTCTTCTTCTCAACCAATAGAAGGATTTTGACCAAATTTGTCCTAGAGCATCTTTGGACAAAGGAGACTCAAGTTTGTATAAACGGAGGGTGTGGCCTCTTTGGGGGCAGAGGGGCGGGGCCAAATAGGGGAAGTAGAGGATTTTTTCTCTCCTACTATACAAGTGAAGGGATTTAAACCAAATGCAGTCTGAAGCTTGGTCAGGAGCATCATTGGCCAAAGGGTTCTCAGTTTTGTATAAACGGACGGTATAGCCCCCCCTCGGGGCAGAGGGGCGGGGCTAAATAAGGGGAAAAAAGGTAAATCTTTAAAAATGTTCTTCTTCTCAACCAATTGAAGGATTTTGACCAAATTTGTCCTAGAGCATCTTTGGACAAAGAAGACTCAAGTTTGTATAAACGGAGGGTGTGGCCCCTCTGGGGGCGGAGGGGCGGGGCCCAATAGGGGAAATAGAGGATTTTTTTTCTCCTGCTATACAAGTGAAGGGATTTTAACCAAATGCAGTCTGAAGCATGATTAGGGACAAAAGAATCAATTTTGTATAAACTGAGGTGTGTGGGCCTCCTTCTAAGGGCAGATGGGTGGGGCCCATTAGGGGAAATAGAGGAAAACATCAAATATCCTTCTCCTTTTGTACCGATGAAGGGATTTTGACCAAATTTGGTCTGGAGCATCATTGGCCAAAGGGTTCTCAGTTTTGTATGAACGGAGGGTATGGTCCCCCTGGGGGCAGAGGGACGGGGCCAAATAGGGGAAAATAGGTAAATCTTTAAAAATCTTCTCCTCAACCAATTGAAGGATTTTGACCAAATTTGTCCTAGAGCATCTTTGGACAAAGGAGACTCAAGTTTGTATAAACGGAGGGTGTGGGCCTTCTGGCGGCATAGGAGCGGGGCCCAATAGGGGAAATAGAGGATTTTTTTTCTCCTACTATACAAGTGAAGGGATTTAAACCAAATGCAGTCTGAAGCATGCTTAGGGAGAAAAGAATCAATTTTGTTTAAACTGAGGTGTGTGGATTCCCCTTCTTTGGGGCAGATTAGTGGGGCCCATTAGGGGAAATAGAGGAAAACATTAAAGATCCTTCTCCTTCTGTACCGTTGAAGGGATTTTAACCTAACCAAACTTGTTTTAGAGAATCTTTGGGCAAAGGGAATTGAATATTTATAAATGGAAGATGCAACTTTGTTACTTGTACTCCTTTGATAAACCTGAATGGTACTCAGCAGGTTTTAAATTGAAAAATAAAATACCAGGTGAGCTATTAAGGCCCCTGGGCCTCTTGTTGTTTATGTGGCCTTATGAAAATTCTTCAGATAGCTATATACATGTAACAGGAGATGGAAAAAATGCATGGCCAGATTGGGGTTTAAATGTGTCTTCAGGGCCTGGGTAAATGAGTTAAGTGAAGCTATAGCTTGAAAAAATATAAAATATGACTATTTCAACTGTGTCTATTTCAAGGGCACTTTAAATTCATAATCGGTCAGAAAAAGTGCAAATGTGTGTCTTTATGTTAATATGTCTTTGCGAATGCTTGGTTTTAGGTCGCTGCAGTATAGTTGATTATCACGGCAATGTTGTTTTCGACATGTACAGCTGCCCTGAGGAACTTGTTGCCAATTATCGTACCAGTTACAGTGGCCTTGTCTGCGGTCACATGACCAATGCGGTCCCTTTTGAAGTTGTACAGAAAATTGTTAAAGATTTACTGAAGGTATGTTGACTATGCTCAATGAGAATTGATCATGATGATGAAGTATTCTGAGAATGAAGATGCAGATGTGGCATCTTAACAATAAGGACAGGGGCGTAGCTAGGGCTTGTTAAAAGTGGATTCAGGGTCCAGGGCAGGGGGTCAAGAGGGTTTTTCTGTTTGAAATTTGATAGATGCACCTGCAAATTTATGGTATTGGTGTAACATGTTGAATAAAAGTGTTGTACTCTGTGTCTTGACATAAAATTTGTTTTGCAGGGCAAAATTTTGGTTGCTCATGATATCAAACAGGATTTGATATTGTTGAATATAGACCACCCAGCACAAATGATCAGAGATACTCTTTTTCATCCAGTCTTGATAAAGAAGGCAAAAGATTTGGGATGTGACAGAGAAGCTCTCCGGCCGCTCGCCTGGTGTCTTCTTGGTAAGTCTTCTACATTTAAAGGAAAGGGTACCAACAAGTTTAACTTTATTAGGTCACCTAAGCTTTGCTTTGTGCATACACTTTTTACATTTTCGACTTCTTCTCAAGAACCAGTGGATGGAATTTTTTCAAACTTGATCAGAATCATCCTTGGTAGATGAGGCTACAAAATGGTTTAAATTAGGATACCTACCCTAGCCCAAGGGGCCAGGACGGGGCCCAAAGGGAAAATTATCCAATATTTCAAAAATATTTTCCAGACTCCGAGGTACTAGTTTGTGAAATATTTGTTTACTCTCTTCCTCTGATAAGTTCTTTTTATAAGAAGTACTGGTATTTCACAAAAAGCAAAGGTATGAATGCACTTGACAAAACTATAATTGTTGAAAATTTAAAAGTTTGAAAAATGAAATTGAAAAAAAGTGCAGGGGTCAATTGTAAATTTCGAAACCTAGCTATGATTTGTCTCAGTGGTGTGCTGGCAGTTAGTACTACAAAGGTCAAGAAAAGGAAATGACCTTGACCTTTCTTCAAGGTCACAGGGGTCAAATATATTAAAACACTGGCAGGAAACAATTCAAAGTTTGGGAAAAGAAATGACCCTGACCCATATTCATGGTCACAAAGGACTCTATGTCACATTTGTTGAAACAACCAATGGGTTTTTTTGAAACATGAAACAGGCCTAGAACCTTTCATGGTGCATGACAGATAGTTTACTGCTACCAAATATGGGAAAAAGCAATCACCTTGACCTATTTTCAAGGTCACAGGGTTAAATTTGATAAAACACTAAAATTGCTTCTTCTGAAAATCCAGTAGGCCTGAAGTCATGATATATTGTCAGTGGCTACAATAATTGAGAGAACAAAAACCACCCTGACTTATGTTCAAATAACTTCTGTAAAACACAAATGCCTAAAGTTCTGATATGTGGCCTCAACTTTGCTGATATGGAATGCTACAAAGTTTGGAAAAGAAATACCTATACCTATATTCAAGGTCTTTTGCCACTCAGTGAGGGTTTTTTCAGAAAAACTAATTGCCATAGAATCGTGATAAGAAAACAGTGGCTTGCTGGCATTGAGTACTATCAAGTTTTTAAAAAGAAATGGCTTGACCTATATTCAGGATTACAGACATCAGATCTGTAAAAAATATAAAATGTCTTCTTCTGAAGAATCAAAAGACCTAAAATCATAATAGATATTTTTTAGCTTGCTTGCATGGAGTGCTAAAACTTTTGATATCTGGATAACTATAATGTCCAATAGTCATAATTATATAATATTTAACCAGAATCTTAATGCATTATAGTGCCAGGAAATTTGTGAAAAGAAAGGCCACTTAAACAGGTTTATGTAGTCAGGCCCCTTGGGCCTCTTGTACTGTTTTACAAAAAGTGGGACCCACTGTAGTTTAAATCAACTGACATTAATGATGAATTCACTGTTCATGTAGAATGTTATAATATAATATTGAAGCAATTTTGTCATAACATAGTTGTATTTCTCTGAGAAAAGATTACTGATCTTGTATTACATATTTTGATCTTGTATTACACACTTAATCAATATATATTTTTGTCCTGGTTGATAAAACCACATTGACCTAAATGAAATACAGTAATTGTAGATTTTCAGTGTATCAGAATATCTCACAACACTCACAACCCACTGCAGATCATTTGATCTGAGAATGTTTTCTTATTTAGGTAGGAGAATACAGACATTGTCAAGAACTCACTGTTCTGTTGAGGATGCTACAGCTACCATGGACCTGTTTAAACTGGTGAGGGTGGAGTGGGAGGAGTCGATAGATCAGCAAAACTCCGATGTCAACGAGATTGGGATAAAAAGTAAGAAATGTACTAAACAAACAACATAATGAGTTAAAAATCTTAAATTTATAATACCCCCAACAAAGTTAGGGAGGCTATTCTGGAATCAGCATGTCTGTCCGTCTGTTCGTCTGTCTGTTTGTCTGTCCCTGTTTGTCCGGACAACTCCTTCTAATGTAATGCACCAAAACCCGTTTTTATGGAGTTATGGTCCTTGAAAAAATCCTTGATCTGACATCTTGTCCTTATCTAATCGGCCAATTTCGAAGTTTATAGATATGGTGAGTGCCCCCTGATGTTGTGCATCCAAGTAGTACATTTTCATTCTGAGCCTTTTTGGCTTACAGTTCTAGTTTACATGGGTGTCAACCTTTGAAACCTTCAATGAGGGAGATCTCTCTCATTCATCATTTGCAATGAGGGATGAATGAAACTGCTTTGCTTAATTTATCTTTCACTTCTTATGTATGAAAATAACTCCAAAAAGCATTAATCTGAATCAGACACACCTGTTATAAATCATGACACACACCCTGCAGTAACTAGGAGATCATTTGAGTACAGAATGTAGATTTTAAGTTGGTGTGAGATTGGACTAGAAAGCAGGAGTTACGAGGGAGATTTGTAAAATTTGGTCAAAATGAGGTAGTCTCCCTCCTAATAAGGGAGGTTTGACAGCTATGTATTTTATATTGTGTACATTGATCCCTCTGGGTCTGGCACTGAATATATACACGGTGTCATCATTTATTTAATGTTTTCATACTGCTTCGGTACTCTGATTCTTCACATGGTGTCATTTCAGAATCAATAAATGTTTTCCCAACATCATTTCTGCTATTTCATTTCTCTAAAGTTCAGTTTTTGATATTTGTTTTATTCCGAATATTGTGCTTTTCCAAGCATATTGATTCTTCTTTTTAATATCACTGCAGTGTTAAATCCTGTCACAGCATTAAATGAATTCGCCCAGAAGTTAAGATGGGAGCTACCAGAATACCAGTGCAAGCGTCTGTCATCAGAAAATCCACCGAAGTTTGTTTATACGGTAAAAATAACAATGTCCATTGTACTGCATTTCATTAGGGCTCCGCATCGGAGATACAGGTGCCCTATAATTACAGTTTCAGTCTGTCTGTCCATCCCTCCAGCGTCAACTTCTTCCTTTTAAAAACTTCTCCAGAAGAACCAAGAAGCCTAGGGTGATTATATTTGGCTAGTTGCATTCTTGGATAAGGGCTACCAAGTTTGTTTGAATAAATGACCTACTTCATTTAATTCAAGGTCACAACAGTCAAAAAATTTTAAATCTTAAAAACCTTCCTCCGAATAACCAAAAGGCCCATGATGGTGATATATGGCCAATAACATGCTGGGATAAAGGGCTACAAAGTTTGTTCAAATGAATGACCTTGACGTATATTCAAGGCATAGGGGTCAACTATAACTAAAAGGCAAAGGACATTGATATTTGGCCAGTAACCTGCTGGGTTGAAGGGCTACCAAATTTGTTCAAACAAATGACCTTGACTTGTATTCAAGGTCACAGGGGTTAATTGTCTTAAAAACTTTCAAACAACTTATCAATGACAAGAAGGCTCAGAATGATGATATTTGGCAGTAGCATGCTGGAATGGAGGGCTACCAAGTTTTTCAAAATAAATTGTCTTGACCTATATTCAAGGTCACAGGAGTCAAATATCTGAATAATTCTGAATAACCAAAATGGCAATGGTTAGGATATTTAGCTTGTAGCTATATTTTAGTCTACTTGAAAGGTTACAAGTGTGAGATTAAAACTAGGTGAGCGATGCAGTAGAGTACAGGTGATCAGGTGTAGATTTTGTTAAATATCATGGTATGAAAATGATGTGGATCACATTTTGTAGGTTTTGGTGAATGATGAAGGGTATCGGTCCACAGGATGTCCCAATAAAAAAGAGGCCAAAGCAGCCGCTGCCGAAGCGTTCTTTGTACATCATCGTAGATCAGAAAGTGATACCTACATGGATGTGTTCAAACACATTACAAGCAACACTGAGTCAGACAACCAGACGAATCCAAGTAAGTAGTTTTGTATATTGTGTTAAATATATAATTTGTAGCTGTTTAATTCATGCCAATGATGTTTTCACAGACTTGAACTGTAGATATACATAGCAGCAAAATTATGACAACAGTTCCTTTTTGACAAGGGTTATTGCAGTTTGCTATAATTTCTGATCACCATGAGAAATTATGTATTAAGACTGTCTCAATCAAGTAAGGAATGTTGCAGATGTTTTAGTTTGAAATAATAGTTTTTGACATATACATGTTTTAGTTTGAAATAATAGTTTTTGACATACACATTGTTTAGTTTGAAATAATAGTTTTTGACATATACATGTTTTAGTTTGAAATAATAGTTTTTGACATATACATGTTTTAGTTTGAAAAAACAGTTTTTGACATACAGATGTTTTAGTTTGAAATAATGGTTTTTGACATATACATGTTTTAGTTTGAAATAACAGTTTTTGACATACAGATGTTTTAGTTTGAAATAATGGTTTTTGACATACACATTGTTTGAAGTAATAGTTTTTGACATACAGATGTTTTAGTTTGAAATAATGGTTTTTGACATACAGATGTTTTAGTTTGAAATAATAGTTTTTGACATATACATGTTTAAGTTTGAAATAATAGTTTTTGACATACAGATGTTTTAGTTTGAAATAATAGTTTTTGACATATACATGTTTTAGTTTGAAATAATAGTTTTTGACATACACATGTTTTAGTTTGAAATAATAGTTTTTGACATATACATGTTTTAGTTTGAAAAAACAGTTTTTGACATACAGATGTTTTAGTTTGAAATAATGGTTTTTGACATATACATGTTTTAGTTTGAAATAACAGTTTTTGACATACAGATGTTTTAGTTTGAAATAATGGTTTTTGACATACACATTGTTTGAAATAATAGTTTTTGACATACAGATGTTTTAGTTTGAAATAATAGTTTTGACATACACATGTTTTAAAACTTGTTATATTTTGGAATGATAGGGAGACATATTGTATAGGTACAATAATTATTACTGCAGAGTTGGATCCTGTATTGAAACACATTACAAGCAACACTGAGTCAGACAACCAGACGGATCCAAGTACCGGTAAGTAGTTTTGTATATTGTGTTAAATATATAATTTGTAGCTGTTCAATTCATGCCAATGATGTTTTCACAGACTTGAACCGTAGATACATTACATTGACAGCAACATTATGACCGCTGTTTCTATTTGACAAGGGTTTTTATTTTCTGCATTATAAACCACTGTGCAGTTTGCTGTAATTTATTATCATTTATATACTACTTTATACCACCTACCGGTAGCATGATAAATTCATTATCATTGGTTGTCAGTATGAGAAAAAGTTGAGAACGACTTGAGAAGAACTTGAGAATTGATTTTCCCATTCCCCAGCACTTTGGAACGATTTTGTCAAAAAAGAACGTCTGCTCGAGCCAAATGATGTCCAAAACTTGAAATAGTGTCTATACAAAAGTGATCCGCATAAGAAAATAGTCCATCATAAACATATCAATGTAGAGATACGGAAAGACATAGTGAGAATAACAACACCATTTCAGGTGTAAATGTACATATGGAAAAGCCAATGACAATAGGATTGTGTTAAAAAATAAAACCTACATAGTTTTAAGGTTCATTGTATTCTTACGCCAAAACTTCTATTTGTTTACATTTATCACAGGTGATTGTTGACCATTGAGCTTAGAAGTCATTTGGAAAACATGATGTTTAGTTGAGTTTTTTAAATGGAGAGATATATAAGGTAATAGTATATAGATGGTAAATAGTTTATCACACAGTTTTTTCAGTGTTTGTCGTTCGAACAAATTTCTCATCACTTGCACGTAGATAAAATCTCGAGTCCACCTGAGGTGGCCTCTCGATTTTATCCATGTGTTCGCGATGAGAAAATTGTTCTCACGACAAACCCTGAAAATACAGTGTGACAATCTACAATTATCATCATGAGAAATAATGTATAAAGACTGTCTCAAACAATATAGTTATTAGGCAGATATTATGGTTTGAAATAATAGTTTTTGTCATATGTATGTTTGAAAACTTGTTATATCTTAGAATTAAAAGGAGAAATATTGTAAAGGTACAATGATTATCACTGCAGAGTTGGGTCCTGTCACAGCATTAAATAATGTCTCCCAGAAGTTAAGATGGGAGCTACCAGAATACCAGTACGAGCGTCTGTCATCAGAGGTCCCACCGAAGTTTGTTTGTAAGGTAAAAATAACAATGTCCATTGTACTGCATTTCATTAGGGCTCCTCGTCATCATGCAGAGATGCAGGTGCCCTTTAGTAATCACAGATTCAGTTTTGTCTGTCTGTTTCTTTTGGTAAAAATATCTCAGAACTCAAAAGACCAATCATGAAATGGTGATACAGTTCAAGGTCACTGTTACTAAAATACACCATACTTTGCAATGCCTTGTTTTGATTTTGCTAAATATCATGGTAAAATATCTGAATAATTCTGAATAACCAAAATGGCAATGGTTAGGATATTTAGCTTGTAGCTATATTTTAGTCTACTTGAAAGGTTACAAGTGTGAGATTAAAACTAGGTGAGCGATGCAGTAGAGTACAGGTGATCAGGTGTAGATTTTGTTAAATATCATGGTATGAAAATGATGTGGATCACATTTTGTAGGTTTTGGTGAATGATGAAGGGTATCGGTCCACAGGATGTCCCAATAAAAAAGAGGCCAAAGCAGCCGCTGCCGAAGCGTTCTTTGTACATCATCGTAGATCAGAAAGTGATACCTACATGGATGTGTTCAAACACATTACAAGCAACACTGAGTCAGACAACCAGACGAATCCAAGTAAGTAGTTTTGTATATTGTGTTAAATATATAATTTGTAGCTGTTTAATTCATGCCAATGATGTTTTCACAGACTTGAACCTTAAATATACATAGCAGCAAAATTATGACAACAGTTCCTTTTTGACAAGGGTTATTGCAGTTTGCTATAATTTCTTATCTTCATGAGAAATAATGTATTAAGACTGTCACAATCAAGTAAGGAATGTTGCAGATGTTTTAGTTTGAAATAATAGTTTTTGACACACACATGTTTAAGTTTGAAATAATGGTTATTAACATACAGATGTTTTAGTTTGAAATAATAGTTTTTGACATACATATGTTTTAGTTTGAAATAATGGTTTTTGACATACAGATGTTTTAGTTTGAAATAATAGTTTTTGACATACAGATGTTTTAGTTTGAAATAATGGTTTTTGACATACAGATGTTTTAGTTTGAAATAATAGTTTTTGACATACAGATGTTTTAGTTTGAAATAATGGTTTTTGACATACAGATGTTTTAGTTTGAAATAATAGTTTTTGACATACAGATGTTTTAGTTTGAAATAATGGTTTTTGACATTCAGATGTTTTAGTTTGAAATAATAGTTTTTGACATACAGATGTTTTAGTTTGAAATAATGGTTTTTGACATTCAGATGTTTTAGTTTGAAATAATAGTTTTTGACATACAGATGTTTTAGTTTGAAATAATGGTTTTTGACATACAGATGTTTTAGTTTGAAATAATAGTTTTTGACATACAGATGTTTTAGTTTGAAATAATGGTTTTTGACATTTAGATGTTTTAGTTTGAAATAATAGTTTTTGACATACAGATGTTTTAGTTTGAAATAATGGTTTTTGACATACAGATGTTTTAGTTAGAAATAATAGTTTTTGACATTTAGATGTTTTAGTTTGAAATAATAGTTTTTGACAAACAGATGTTTTAGTTTGAAATAATAGTTTTTGTCATATATATGTTTGAAAACTTGTTATATCTTAGAATTAAAAGGAGAAATATTGTAAAGGTACAATGAATATCACTGCAGAGTTGGGTCCTGTCACAGCATTAAATAATGTCACCCAGAAGTTAAGATGGGAGCTACCAGAATACCAGTACGAGCATCTGTCATCAGAGGTCCCACCGAAGTTGGTTTGTAAGGTAAAAATAACAATGTCCATTGTACTGCATTTCATTAGGGCTCCTCCTTATCATGCAGAGATGCAGGTGCCCTTTAGTAATCACGGATTAAGTTTGTCTGTCTGCTTCTTTTGGTGAAATTATCTCAGAACTCAAAAGACTAATCATGAAATGGTGATACAGTTCAAGGTCACTGTTACTAAAATACACCATACTTTGCAATGCCTTGTTGTAGATTTTGCTAAATATCATGGTATGTAAATGATGTGGATCACATTTTGTAGGTTTTGGTGAATGATGAAGGGTATCAGTCCACAGGCTGCTCCAATGAGAAAGAGGCCAAAGCAGCCGCTGCCGAAGCGTTCTTTGTACATCATCGTAGATCAGAAAGTGATACCTACATGGATGTATTGAAACACATTACAAGCAACACTGAGTCAGAGAACAAGAAAGATCCTAGTATGTAGTTTTGTTTATTGTGTTAAATATATAATTTGTAGCTGTTTAATTCATGCCAATGATGTTTCACAGACTTGAACCGTAGATATACATAGTAGCAAAATTATGGCAACAGTTCCTTTTTGACAAGGGTTATTGCAGTTTGCTATAATTTCTTATCTTCATGAGAAATAATGTATTAAGACTGTCTCAATCAAGTAAGGAATGTTGCAGATGTTTTAGTTTGAAATAATAGTTTTTGACATACAGATGTTTTAAAAATTGTTATATCTTGGAATGATAGGGAGACATATTGTATAGGTACAATAATTATCACTGCAGAGTTGGATCCCATCACAGCATTAAACCAAGTCACCGAGAAGTTAAGATGGGAGCTACCAGAATACCAGTACGAGCGTCTGTCATCAGAGGACCCACCGAAGTTTGTTTGTAAGGTAACAAGAAGAAGCTGTCTTAGATATCCCTTGCCCGCAGTGCAAAAGTCATTGAAAACATGAAGCGTAAAATTTAGGACAAAATCAGTAGTAGAGCAACCTTAGATACACAATTGATGCAAGTTTAATCAATATAGCTCTTGTAGTAGGTAAAGTATAGATGGGAGCAATTATTCTTCAACAGGTGCACGGACGGCCGGACCCCATTTCTATATCCTCTGCCAACTCGCTGAGCGGGTATAAAAATAACAATGACCATTGTACTGCTTTTTATTGGGGCTCCATGTCAGAGATTCAGGTGCCCTATAGTAATCAGTTTCAGTATGTCTGCTGATTTAAAAAGACTAATCTTGACATGGTGAAACTTTGTGATATGAAAATGTGCAAAAGGGCTTAAACGGTTTCTAAGGTCAACGTCAAGGTCAAGGTCACACTTTGCGATGCCTTGTAGATTTTTCTAAATATCGCGGTGTGTAAATGATGTGGATCACTTTTTGTAGGTTTTGGTGAATGATGAATGGTATCAGTCCACAAGCGGCTCCAATAAAAAAGAAGCCAAAGCAGCCGCTGCCGAAGCATTCTTTGTACATCATCGTAGATCAGAAAGTGAAACCTACATGGATGTGTTCAAACACATTACATTCAACACTTGGCTGAAGAACCAGCCGAATACAAGTGAGTAGTCTTCTAGCTAAGAACTCAAAATTGCTATTACCCTGTAGCAAAAAGCTGGCCTGCAGATTTTACAGTGGTGCTACTAGGACTTGTTACAGGATCTGGCCTTGTCCTGGGTACTTACTCCCGGTTCATTACACAATTGAAATACCAACCCTTTAAGATGTATACAATTTAGAGATAAAACACCCATGCTACTATGATAGTCCCCAGGGTCTGGCCTCGTACCTCAGCAATTACTTTCTAGTTCATAAAATGCTGTTCCGATATAAAAGAGGCCAAAGCAGCAACTGCTGAAGTTGTCTCTGACATCATCGTAGATCAGAAAGTGATACCTACATGGATGTATTGAAACACATTACAAGCAACACTGAGTCAAGAGATCCAGACCAACTGAAATTTAAAGCCTGCATGTATACTTTGAGAAGTCATCATTATTTTCTAAGCCAAAAAAGATTACGTGTGTTTCGGGAATCCAATCTACCCTAAATCTTCCTGGTGGCCCTAGAACATTTTAACATCCACCTGGATCCAGGATTAATTATGTAGCCATGAAAAGCTTGCAGTCACTCATAAAATGTACTTTCGTCCTATTCTGGGAGCCTGACTGCATTATTGAGAAGTTAAAAGCCATTGTACACATTTGAAAAGCATTGAGAAATTGAAAATAAAACTAATGTTGATCCATGAAAAAGAAAGAAAAAGCAGAATAAAATATTCATCTACCAAACTGCCGTATTTTTTTCTAGCATGTTACCTGAAATACACATAACTTTTGTTTGGGCCTAAGATAAAAATTGTCAAGGTTTTGAATTTCCAGCTAAAATTTTCCAGTTGTAAAGGTTTTATGCCTTATTCTGACATTGTTGAAATTTCTTTTGTTTACAGTTTGTAAATCATGATATCCAGGGAAAAGGAAAAAATTCAGACAGAGAGATAATGGCAGGAGCAGCAGAATTCTGTATGTCTGACCTAAGGCAACGTTTTGACTACACTCACCCATAAAATCGCTTTTTCTGAAGTAATTTCTGGGGAACCTGCTTACTTAACAGATTCACATATATTTTTTTTCTCAGAAAAGATATTAAAATTTTTAAATGTTGTTTAAAGTGTTCTAGAATAAAATCTGTGATTGATTCATCAATTTATTTATTTCAATTGTATGATGTGAAATAAAAAAACAATTTGTCAATTTCAATGTGGTTATGTAATAATAGTTTGATCATGCTTGTAACAAGCATTTTGATTGGCTTAAAAAATTATGTTATCAGCCCATAACGTGTAAAAGTGACGTAGCTGTTTTTAACGTCGCTTTTGTTTGGCTTATACAGCAGCGTAATAATGTGTAAGAGAAAAGAGTCCACCAATGAAAGTGAATTCCCACAGGGAATGTGTATAGTAGATTAAATTATAAGGATTGACTTGAATATATTTTTCATGTTATGAAGCTATAACACAAAAAAACGGAGTGTACTCTCATCATAAAGTACACTCCATTTTTAGCTCACCTGGCCCGAAAGGCCAAGTGAGCTTATCCCATGGTGCATCGTCCGTCGACTTTTTCCTTTAAAATGCTACTTGTCCTGAATGGCTCAGAGGATTTTGACCAAATTTGGTCAGGACCATTATTGGCCAAAGGGTTCTCAGTTTTGTATAAACGGAGGGTATATCCCCCCCTGGGAGCAGAGGGGTGGGGCCAAATAGGGGGAAAATAGGTAAATCTTTAAAAATCTTCTTCTTCTCAACCAATAGAAGGATTTTGACCAAATTTGTCCTAGAGCATCTTTGGACAAAGGAGACTCAAGTTTGTATAAACGGAGGGTGTGGCCCCTCTGGGGGCAGAGGGGCGGGGCCCAATAGGGGAAATAGAGGATTTTTTTTCTCCTGCTATACAAGTGAAGGGATTTTAACCAAATGCAGTCTGAAGCATGATTAGGGACAAAAGAATCAATTTTGTATAAACTGAGGTGTGTGGGCCTCCTTCTAAGGGCAGATGGGTGGGGCCCATTAGGGGAAATAGAGGAAAACATCAAATATCCTTCTCCTTTTGTACCGATGAAGGGATTTTGACCAAATTTGGTCTGGAGCATCATTGGCCAAAGGGTTCTCAGTTTTGTATGAACGGAGGGTATGGTCCCCCTGGGGGCAGAGGGACGGGGCCAAATAGGGGAAAATAGGTAAATCTTTAAAAATCTTCTCCTCAACCAATTGAAGGATTTTGACCAAATTTGTCCTAGAGCATCTTTGGACAAAGGAGACTCAAGTTTGTATAAACGGAGGGTGTGGGCCTTCTGGCGGCATAGGAGCGGGGCCCAATAGGGGAAATAGAGGATTTTTTTTCTCCTACTATACAAGTGAAGGGATTTAAACCAAATGCAGTCTGAAGCATGCTTAGGGAGAAAAGAATCAATTTTGTTTAAACTGAGGTGTGTGGATTCCCCTTCTTTGGGGCAGATTAGTGGGGCCCATTAGGGGAAATAGAGGAAAACATTAAAGATCCTTCTCCTTCTGTACCGTTGAAGGGATTTTAACCTAACCAAACTTGTTTTAGAGAATCTTTGGGCAAAGGGAATTGAATATTTATAAATGGAAGATGCAATTTTGTTACTTGTACTCCTTTGATAAACCTGAATGGTACTCAGCAGGTTTTAAATTAAAAAATAAAATACCAGGTGAGCTATTAAGGCCCCTGGGCCTCTTGTTTGTGTTATAGCTCCATAACATGAAAACTACCGGTATATTCAAGTTAATCCTTAACTTAACTCATAGATCCCTGAAATTTCATAATGGTGGCTTCTGTCTATGAAGCCAAGCCCTGGTTCATTGATCAGGCACAAACAAACAAGTTTAAAATAAAATTGGTTTTATTTACACAACAACTGTAGCTTAATAATATAAATATAAGGTTTAAGATTTTTAAGTCCTGTAAATTATTCAGTACAATATCTTTAAATCTCATTTCTTTTGCCAGGATACATCATTATATTATAAAACATTGTTTGCTAGTGTCAGACAGAAAAAATCCGACCTACACAATCTAAGATGTTGTGTTTAGCATGGGAGTTTGTGATATACAAGCTGGTAGTGAACTTAGGCTGTTGTTTTAATAAAAAGCAATATTTAATGACAATAGCGATTTATTAAGGACATCATGTAAAAAATCCACATATATCTTGATCGATGCTGATATGATCATGTTTGGGGTCCATCTTTTACTGTGGTTTGGGGTATTTATAGTAAGATCAGGGCCCAGTAGTCCAATAGTCCAAAGGCCTGGCTAGCTGAACCAAAAATCCTGAAAGGCCTTTTTTTTGGGGGGGGGGAGGGGTAGTAAAATGCAATTGATCCGGGATCTCTGTTATTTCGTAAAACTTTACTGAATGCATGAGCCAAAATGTTCCAGGCCGATTCGGGTCTTCCGCCCAGTATCTAAAATCTATTTAGCATTTATATAAATCACTATACACTGTACCAGTCAAATGACTTGGAGAGAATATCGTTCTGAACCTGAAGTTGTGTTTCTTTTTTTGTGTGTCGAAAATGGTTAATTTCAGTTTTGCCTATAACAGTTTGTGTACGCACGTTGAGCATTTTGATCTGAACCGGAAGTTACGTTTCTTTCTTTTTTAACCAAACTGCTTTGTCCCGATACTTGGTATAGGCAACAGGAATATGTTCTTTATTTGTTGTGAACTTTGATCGGATTGTCAGGTACTTGTCATTCGTGACACTTCGGTGGTGTTCCTGTATCTCTAACGGTATCCGCCTCTTCCGGTGGTGTTCAACATTCATCCAACCTCCGCCAACACGGACCATCACAGCCTCACGCTTCGGTAGCTTCTGTAAAACAAAACAGAACTTTGACACATTTAAGCATTTAACTGCTTTCAGTTGGCATTCATAGGCAATATGAACGCCAACTGGACAAAGTCAAATTCAATGACGCGCGCTAGCGCTGCATGTTGGATTTGCCTTTTAAGGTCCAGTTGGAAATATATATATTAACCATTTTTGGAATCTGTTCATCTCATAAAAAATCTTTTTCACTTATTATTATTCAGCACTTAGTTCAAATAATGTATCTATCGTGTATTCTTGTTCTATGAATAGAACAGCCATCGCCCGGGGAGGGTCAGTGTATCCAACGTAACAATTATGACGTCATAACAATAATGCCGTCAACAATCGGTCCATGGCATTCATAGCCCTATATATTTACATTTGCCCCCGCGCCGTCCCATTACAACAGTGTTAGAGGGCAAGTGTAATTATATAGGCTATAATTACAACTGCTCGACTATAATTACAACTGCCTGTTTCAGGTGTAGGAATATGTAAACAAACAAAATGGCCGCCTGAAATGTATTTTGATTCAGGGCAAATGGTTTTTGTAGGAATATGTCTTAAAAAAGAAAAATATGTAAATATAAAAAATACCTGGTTGTCTGGATGTAATTACTGTTGATATAATTACAAGTGCCCTCTGGCAATTCCCATTTTTATGGTAGATTTGCCAGAGGTCACCTGTAATTATATCAACAATAATTACATCCAGACAACCAGTTATTGTTTAAATGAATGCTAACTGAATTTGGTAGGGTTATAAAGTGTATTCATATATAAAGTGTCGGTCATCGTACGGCGTAACTTCCACGAACAATTTCATCATTTACATCGTTTCAGAGATGTTGGAATATTCCCCCCCCCCCCCCCCCCTTGTCAGTAAGGTAAGCTAATATTTAACGTAGTTAAGGAACATCTTTGGTTATAAGGTTATATTACGTACTCGATAAATATAAATCTACTCTGCACCGTAAGATTATTTTAATATTAGAATCAAAATGCATGTACGCGCCACCATGCGGACGATACGAGTCTGCTAGACTGAAAACTATGCCATTATCTTGTATAGTGAAATGTGCGGTTAAATTGATCTTGGATTCCCGTTTGATAATCGTTAAAGTCCAACTGTCTATTAGCCTTGTAATTGGTCGTTTTGTTTATGTCGTGAACCAATCCAAATAGCTATAACCATGAAATTAGAATCTGTCATGAGGAAATGCAAGAGTGCAGAGCATTTATGTGTGTCGAGATTTCAAAGATAAGAGAACGGAATCATATGCTGTAGAACTCCTTCATACATGTACTTTGTCAGTAACCCGACTCGACAATAAGTTCTGTTAATTGGCCGTTACATAGTACGAAACCGACCGAAAACACTATTTTGTCTTCAATCACCACAGCTCTACTGGATATAATGTCTGGAAACACATTTTTAACACCAAAAAAGACACCCCGACCGGAAATATCGTCAAAACACCAAACTCGTCACCCTGACCGAAAACTATTTATAAACAACAGGCACGACATTCTGAGCGGAAACACTATTTCAAAACTAAAAACGACTCATCGAACGAACCCTCGATATCCAGGGGTTACGTCATCCTCGATATCCAGGGGTTACGTCATCCTCGATATCCAGGGGTTACGTCAACCTCGATATCCAGGGGTTACGCTCACTTTCTCTCTCTACACCCCTGGAATATGTCATAGCAAAATTGAAGGCACGAACTTTGATTGGTCTCGGGTAAAAAAATCTGACCAATCGCTAGGCCGATACCTGTTCTTTGAAGATTACAAAGGAGAGACGACCAACTTTAAAGCCTGTCAATTTTTACCGTTACGTGACCGCGTGATTCTTTTGATGCACATCGGAGGATCGAACTCGTCTTCTTGTCTCATCAACAAGGTTGCGCACACTGAGCCTTCAAATTTGCTATGATATATTCCAGAGATATAGAGAGCGAAAGTGAGCGTAACCCCTGGATAGCGAGGATGCTCCGAAGGGAAACAGCGTTAAAACAACGAATACGACACAACGGAAACACTGTTAAAATACCAAACACGACACCCCGACTGAAAAATTTTTCAAACACCAAACACGACACCCTGACCATAAACATTGTCTAAATATTAAACACGACACCCCGACTGGAAACAAGGTTTAAACACCTAACTATACACATGATGGTACTACCTACTCTAATTACATGAAAGCAATATATCACTACTGTACCATTTCTTACCTTTAATGGAAACATGGGACGCGGCGGGATAGGTTTATGTTTGTATGGAGGAGGTATTTCCGGTTCCGGTTTGTACATGATGAGTTCCCGTTCGCGATGAATTGTATCCCGTATGTGGAGTGGGTTGTCTGCAACACCATCAACAAACGGACCATCGACTGGGTCAATATCGGATAGTATAGCAGTCTTGTAGTTGTCAAGCTTTGGTTTCTCGCCAATGTACTTTGCTTTTGGCGTTCTGGCATTTCTCTGCGGTGGTTTCGTTTCCGCTGGCTTGGGTGGCTTGGGAAGAAACACAACCGGCGTGGTTTCAGTTGGATTGGGTTCTATTTCAAGTTCGACTTTTTCCCTTAGGAATATCTTCCGTGTGCTCATTGTAACCTTGGTATTAATGTTTTTGTCCGGCGGAGTTGCGTCATTGCATGAGTGGACAGATGTGAGGGCATCTGAGGAATCTGACAAATCCGACGAGTCACCTGTTGAATATTCCTCGTAAACCCTCGGGTCTTTTGGACTCGACTTGACTTGTTTAGTAGCTTCAGCTTCGGGTTTTATCTTTTGTTTAAATGTTGGCATCACAGCAGGAGGTCTGCGACGGGGGGATGCCCATCGTCCCTCCGAAGTTTCATCATCAATGTCGTCGTCACTCTCATCCGTCTCGGTTTTGTCAGAAGTTGTTTCCTCAATTACACTCTCCGTAGTCTCTTCTGCCGAGTCTTTTTCTTCTGCAGAAGAATCGTGATAACGGCACGTGACGACTTCTGTCCCCCAACAGCATGATGTCACCACAATGTCAACACAGCCACAACACTGGTCTACAATTTGGTCTTCAGATTCTTCGTCATCTGCTGTCTTCCTTTCCTGCGACTCGTATTCAAGTCTTGGAGAGGTATAGTCGGCTCCTGCCGTTTCACGTCTGTCCCTATTCAAATTACCATGGGTAACCCTTCGGTAAATGTGACCCCCACTTCTTACGTTTGCTCTAGTCGCCGACTCGTCATACTGTCGGCCGACCGTATCTGGTTGCAACAGGTGGCGCGCGCGTCGTGAATAGTTTCTGGCGTTATCCGTGTCACTATCGGGTGCTCGGTACGGCCTCACGAACGAATTCCGTCCATAAAGAGGCTCAACTGGTGCATAGCTGTACCGGGCACGTGCACTTCTACTAGTATGTGCAGCATGTGCATATCCATCAGTACTATATCCGTAACGAGTACTTCCGGTACTGTTCATGTCAGAAAAATCCCACCCCACCTTCTTTTGCCGTCGACGTCCATCGGAGAACCCCGATAACAAGGAGTAATTGTCCCGGGGGTCCCGGGGATGGTAGTGGTAGCGAGGAAAGCGCATTCCCGGCTCACGGTTGTAGTGGACGTCACTCCAATCGAGAGCCTCGCGTCTACTCTCGCGCACCATGTCTCGTGGATCGAACCAGCTGGTAAAGCTCTACGGTCCAGAGGTTGATTTCGCAAATCTCTAACCCTACGGTCCCGGGGTGGACATCCACACGAATCGCCACATATATAATCCCAGTGTGGTACATATACCACTAGCGAATCCACAACACCTTTTGTTAATTTCCGGATCTACTGTGGTAGGATCATCAAAATATATCTGTATTACTCTATGGTTGTCAAAACTAAAATTATTGACCCAATTCCAGAAGAGTGTAGAGCGTAATATTGTAAATGTGGTCTTCTTATTTTGGAACACAGATATGGCCGACTTGATTCAGTAGTCTGGTACAAAGCAGAAATTAGCTATTCTTGTTTCAAATCGTATCTTATTAAGATCTGTGTATTCACCAGTCATTGTCATTCAGACCAGCGATCGTTTGTCCAGTGTCAATGTGATCAAGTGTACAGTACGGTTAGAACTAACCATATCTCGGCAAACAATAACATTATATACACATACAGTATGCAGAGTGTATATACACATACAGTATGCAGAGTGTATTTGTTTTTCGAATCCGCCAACATTCTGATTTATACATGTGATTTATACAGCATTAGGTTAATGTTATTAAGTAAATACCAGGATTCGGTCACATTGTATAACAGTCTATGGAATATAGCACCTGTAACCCATACTAAAGTGCCAGGTGCCCGTGCCAAATTCTGTAGCAGATATAACGCTACATACATTGTTTAGAAGAGTTGTGATAAATACATGTGCTGGTCCCTGTGTCATATTTCAGTAGGTATATATAAGGTAGGTATTCTCACATAGTTCTTGTCCGTGTGTCGTATTCTAGTATACATGAAAAGGTATTTATTATAAGGTACTAGCCTCTGTGTCGTATTCCAGTAGATGTATAGGGTCGGTATTATCACATAATTATTGTCCGTGTGTCGTACATTTGTAGGTATATCAGGGTAATATTGTAGAGTACTGACTAGTCCGAATTATTCTGACGTTTTATCGACTTTTTTTTATCGGTCTGTCGTCGGTTAATCGACGACAGACCGATATAAAAAAAGTCGATAAAACGTCAGAATAATTCGGACTAAGTACTGACCCCTGTGCCGTTTCCTAGTAGATCTATAAATATAGGGTTACACTGGACCCTCTGCCGTATTTTAGTGTATATAAGATAGGCTACTGATATCTAATGCTCCTATGCCATTTTGTAGTGTATATATAGGATAGTTATCATACACATACGTTGTGTGTAGTACTGGACCCTGTGTCTAAATACACAATATATAGCTGTCAACTATCTCTCAATAGGACGGAGACTCCCTCCCATAGCGGTCAACCCTCTCTCATTAGGACGGAGACTCCCTCACATAGCTGTCAACCCTCTCTCATTAGGATGGAGACTCCCTTGTTTTTATCAAAATTTGCCAATCTCCCTCGAAACTCCCTAATTCAAGTCAAAACTCACACAAATTCAAAATGTACATCCTGTTGTCAAATGATCTCCTAGTTACTGTAGGGTGTGTGTAATGATCATAACAGGTGTGGTAGATCTATAAATATAGGGTTACACTGGACCCTCTGCCGTATTTTAGTGTATATAAGATAGGCTACTGATATCTAATGCTCCTATGCCATTTTGTAGTGTATATATAGGATAGTTTTCATACACATGCGTTGTGTGTAGTACTGGACCCTGTGTCTAAATACACAATATATAGCTGTCAACTATCTCTCAATAGGACGGAGACTCCCTCCCATAGCTGTCAACCCTCCCTCATTAGGACGGAGACTCCCTCCCATAGCGGTAAACCCTCTCTCATTAGGACGGAGACTCCCTTGTTTTTATCACAATTTGCCAATCTCCCTCGAAACTCCCTCATTCAAGTCCAAACTCAGACAAATTCAAAATGTACATCCTGTTGTCAAATGATCTCCTAGTTACTGTAGGGTGTGTGTAATGATCATAACAGGTGTGGTAGATCTATAAATATAGGGTTACACTGGACCCTCTGCCGCATTTTAGTGTATATAAGATAGGCTACTGATATCTAATGCTCCTATGCCATTTTGTAGTTTATATATAGTATAGTTATCATACACATACGTTGTGTGTAGTACTGGACCCTGTGTCTAAATACACCATATATAGCTGTCAACCATCTCTCAATAGGACGGAGACTCCCTCCCATAGCTGTCAACCATCTCTCATTAGGACGGAGACTCCCTTGTTTTTATCAAAATTTGCCAATCTCCCTCGAAACTACCTCATTCAAGTCCAAACTCACACAAATTCGAAATGTACATCCTGTTGTCAAATGATCTCCTAGTTACTGTAGGGTGTGTGTAATGATCATAACAGGTGTGGTAGATCTATAAATATAGGGTTACACTGGACCCTCTGCCGTATTTTAGTGTATATAAGATAGGCTACTGATATCTAATGCTCCTATGCCATTTTGTAGTTTATATATAGTATAGTTATCATACACATACGTTGTGTGTAGTACTGGACCCTGTGTCTAAATACACAATATATAGCTGTCAACTATCTCTCAATAGGACGGAGACTCCCTCCCATAGCTGTCAACACTCTCTCATTAGGACGGAGACTCCCTCACATAACTGTCAACCCTCTCTCATTAGGACGGAGACGCCCTCACATAGCTGTCAACCCTCTCTCATTAGGATGGAGACTCCCTCCCATAGCTGTCAACCCTCTCTTATTAGGACGGAGACTCCCTCCCATAGCTGTCCACCCTCTCTCCTTAGGACGGAGACTCCCTCCCATAGCTGTCACCCCTCTCTCACTAGGACGGAGCATCCCTCCCATAGCTGTCAACCCTCTCTCATTAGGACGGAGACTCCCTTGTTTTTATCAAAATTTGCCAATCTCCCTCGAAACTCCCTCATTCAAGTCCAAACTCACACAAATTCAAAATGTACATCCTGTTGTCAAATGATCTCCTAGTTACTGTAGGGTGTGTGTAATGATCATAACAGGTGTGTCTGAATGTAATTAATGTTTTTTGAAGTTATTTTGATGCATAAAAAGGTGAAGATAAATTGAGCAAAGAAGTTTCAGTCGCCCTTCACTCACTTTCTCCCTCATTGGACGCGTGGAATGAGGGAGATCTTCCTCATTGGAGGTTTTAGAGGCTGACACCTACATGTATGACAGCTCTAGATATCTATAGAGAAATAATGGTCCCTCGCGATTATTAACGGTACCTGAATATTTATCAATTATGGACTTGAGAAAGTGATATTAACCTCGCCTTCAATTTTGCTATGACATATTCCAGGGGTGCAGAGAGCTAAAGTGAGCGTAATGAGAAGTATCAAGGATGTCAAATATTGTTATTTAACATATCCCATGGACAGCCCACCATTGAAGAACAAAAACTCAAGATCTACTCACATCTGGGTACAACATATAATTTTACTATAAGCATAATGAAATCATGATAATATTAAATACACTTTTTGATTCATTTCAGATTTTGTCTAAAAAATATAACAATATTCAATATTTGCATTTTACCCGAGTATATACGAATATCAGTAATTAATAAATGACACATTTCTGGATTATTTTCTAAAAAGAAACTTATACCAGATTTCCATTGTTGAAAAATCGGACGTACATATATATACATCAATAATATAGTTTGGTAATTTCTACTTATTTTGAGGTTGACGTTTTCGTTTTGAAATGTGTGCTGGTATATATTTGACCGAATAAATATTCGGCCCCGAGCCGTCGAAAGTTACTTTTTGTCAAATAAGATTGTAAATGCGGAGAAAATGTATGCAGCGGTATATATATAACAAAAATTAATAGAAAAAATATTACCTTATATATATACTCATAATATGGCGAAATATTTTGGCTCGCACTAAATTGAACATATTCAACTAAAATTGTGTATATTTTCCACACCTCGTGATTTTTACGTAACTTTTAAAAGAAGATAGGGCATACGGTGATTTGGCGCAAAGTATTTAATTTTCCAGCATTCGGATTACCGAGGTTCCACTGTATTGTGCTGTTTCTACTGTTAAGTCTAATACTGATGGATATGAGTCTGATTTCTGCTGCCACTAAATCTACATGTAAGTTGCGTCGGATATATTAATTGAGAATGTTCAGAATCACAGATAATGAATCAGGGTGGAAATATGAAATAGGTTACAATTTGTTTTAATCTCTACTTGTAAGTCAGTCCTAAATGAGTAAAATACCACATGTTTACCAGTGTCAAACTTATAAAGGGTTCCATGGGTTCAAGGAAACCTGATAATCCGAGGGTTTTCTTTCTTTCTTTTCTTTAAACGTCAACATTCGGATTGTCCCAGACTGGTTTGTGTAAACGCTAAAATATGATATCCTAATCATACTTCATACTAGACGCATTCAAATTAAAAACTAAAAAGTAATTATAATAATAGTCTTGCACTTAAAATCTGGATCGTTTCGTGTTCTTTGAGTCGGTAGCTTGGTCTGTTAGAGGTAATCCGATCGGACGAGTCAACCACTACACCATTTCTGACTAGACTCTGAGTCTGATTTCTGCTGCCACTAAATCTACATATAAGTTGCGTCGGATATATTAATTGAGAATGTTCAGAATCACAGATAATGAATCAGGGTGGAAATATGAAATAGGTTACAATTTGTTTTAATCTCTACTTGTAAGTCAGTCCTAAATGAGTAAAATACCACATGTTTACCAGTGTCAAACTTATAAAGGGTTCCATGGGTTCAAGGAAACCTGATAATCCGAGGGTTTTCTTTCTTTCTTTTCTTTAAACGTCAATGTGTTTTCACGTTTGGAGCCCACAGACACATTCGGATTGTCCCAGACTGGTTTGTGTAAACGCTAAAATATGATATCCTAATCATACTTCATACTATACGCATTCAAATTAAAAACTAAAAAGTAATTATAATAATAGTCTTGCACTTAAAATCTGGATCGTTTCGTGTTCTTTGAGTCGGTAGCTTGATCTGTTAGAGGTAACCCGATCGGACGAGTCAACCACTACACCGTTTCTGACCAGACTTTGTACAGTTTCATATATTGTAAAAAGTCACGCAACATTTGTCGTTTTTGGTGCTGTACCAGTTTGCGGTCTAACACTTTGATCTACTTTGCTCAGTCTGTGTAAAGTGATTTCTTGTAGAACTACTTTCACTCTAACACTTCCACCTAGTTTGACTCCTTCATGTACATCCGGTTCCGGTAATAGATACACGTAAGACGTAATATATGCCAAATTGTCTTTTCAGTGTAGTTCCGGCCGGTTCCGCCAGACGGGTCCGAAAAACAGTTTACTTCGTGTAATGTTCTTCGTCGGTGTTCTGTCCAACTTTGATTTATGTTAATTGAACAGACGGGTCCCAAGGATCCCGGACAATTTCCTCCCTGTACTTCCGGTACGCGATGGGTACGTACTTCTTTTTGGTTGCGAAGCGCGACTTTATGAAGAGGAATTTGTCACGGTTTGTGTCACGTTGGTGCTCGTAGACTTTCAGTGGAATGTGATGGTTGCGATGATGCTCCACCTTCATCCAGCCTCCTCCCACGCGCACCATCATCGACTTCCCCTTCGGCACCGGCTGAAAGTGTAAGAAATAAAACATGTCATGTATTTGCCTTCAGGAACGAACGACAAAAACATCATCGTTTACTTGAAAAAAGGAGCCCTACGAGGGTCAGTTTATATTACGATTGTTATATCATGAAACAGGCCCCTGTGTTCTTAAAATTGCAAAATTAAGTTTTAATGAAGAACTACGATAAAAAATCACGTAAAAGATATTAACAAACTAAAAAGCAAATACTCAGTCTACTTAAGCAGTAAACATAAATGGCATCTATGCAATATTAATAGTTCATTAAGGTAATTTACATAAAAGTGTACGAGATATTTCCCTTGACGCGAGCAAAATAACAACATTATTTCTCGCATGTGTTCGGGAGACTGTCTTAGTGTGGTAGTAATAAAAAAAGGGAAAAGGGAAGAAAAAACAACAAAATGATAATTTTCTTTCTGCCATTTGATTATGAAAATTCAATTTATCCTAAATTGTTATAATCAAAAAATAGTTGTTAAAGCACCAAACAACGTAAAATGATATACACACTTCAGACATTCCCCTGAAATCTGTTTGTGTGTGTTTGTGACATGTCAACACAACGAGATTAGTTTAGACTTTCAGTAAGTAACACAGAAACACTTACGTTTATGTTAAACAGTGCGGTGGCGGATTTAGTGAAGACCTGCAAAATTATTTGATACAGTTAGTTCAAGTGCTGTCTCAAATTCAGTCACAACTTCGTGAAATATAGCTATGTCCAGCGCCGATCAAGAAGGCCGGGTAGCTGATTATATTACTGGTCTACTGTAATTGAGAAGAGACTTGAGTACAGACATTTCAAGTGATTCTAAACTTCGCTTAAATTGATCCGAGCGTCATAACAATATTTATTTACTTTTAAAGCCGAAGCATCTAGGACCACTAAACGTCGAATGAGAATTGAGGTGTATACCTCTTTTAGATTAGAACGGTTTGGCCCAGTAAAATGTGTATGTACGATTCACTTCGTACTAAATGTAGGTCATTTAAATATGTATATATATAGATATTGGAGTATTTGAATAGTTGAGCCTCGAGTTTGTCGTGTCATGGTAATCAAGGGTCGATGTTTAAACATTCCACGGCATTTAAAAAACCTACAGAGCGATTTAAGACTGTGTTTACTGTTTCATGTATAATAACTTACTACCAAAACCAGTCATGCATGGTTTTTAAATCACTTTTTACAAACTAAGGTGTGTTCTACTGTGTTAAATTCCAGTGCACACGGACAATCGCGAACTGTTTAAAGATCGTTTATCCTTCCCCATCAGTTCACTCCGTGAGTTTGGTCATAACTGACAGATGATATGGACTAAGTATGACAGAAACTTGTTATTGTGGTCACTTTTTATGATTTTTTTATACCCACATGAACATTATTTCGAGCCCCACAACGGAATTATTCAAATCAGCCCTCTACCGTCACTTTTCAAACGCAAATTAGACCATCTCGTATCTTTTAAAAACAATCTCTTTCCATGTTTCACTCCTCGTCTGACATTTTATCTTCAAATTGTTGAAGTTGGTCAGTACCATTTAGAAGTAGTAGTAGAAAAACAGTCTTTACTCTAGATAATTGTATATTGTATTTTTTCATGGATGTGCGTGAACTGTTTCAGTGAATTGATGTATTGGCCACTAAATCAGCGTTACATGTATTAATCCATGTACACATTCCGACTCATTAAGGGACAATTGTGGTTCCCTGTTAAAGTCCTTTAATTAGTTTATAAAAAATATGTACTGAATATTTTTGTCAATATGGAATTTAAGCGGAATTATAAATTATAAATACGGTTATACATGTCTTAAATTCATAATTTCACTGTGCCCCTTCGAAGTAGGACATTGTGTGTATTTCGGGATTATATTAAGGCTGATTGTCAAATATCGTGTATATACACATTTATGAATATCTTTACAATCTATGTCGGTATTTATAGCGTGAACGGAATGGTGTGACAGAGCCTATAACATCGATGGGTTAGCTATAATCGCTATTACATATGACCAATTACGAACGTATTTCTGTGCATGAGATTATTTTTTTAATTGACATTGACATCAAATAAGCATAATCACCTATTTAAGTGTTTTCCCTAAGGTTCTTTTTAAATTAAATCTGAAATGCTGACAATGGCAAGCAAATCTAACTATATACTCACATTACGCAAGGAAATTAGTACGATATATTGTGTATGATATAGGGTGGTTAGCATGCGGGTTCTGAATCACAGCGATCGACCGATCACAGACAGGCAAGGGAGGCTACTCTACCAAACGGTACTAATAAGCTTTAAGGTGTGATGCGTTAATTTTTACAGATCATGTCCCCTAACAAAACCCTCACCCTCTACACACACACATGCACCCAAACACAGACACACTTCATTCAGAATGTATTTGTCGTATACGTAAATGCATATAAAATAAAACCTGTCTATATCAACCATCTGTCTATAAAGACCACCTGTCCATAACAGCATTTCTTTAAAATAACCTGTTTATAAAGAATGCCTGTCTTTAAGACCAATCATCAATATAAAATTGAGGTATCATATTGAGAACATCCAAAATAGTGTTTTCTATTTTAAAACAACCTTTCTATAAAGACCAGCTATTCAGATATCGGGCGGTCGTAATTCACAGGTTTTAAACGTAATGAGATTTTGTGAGGACTAAGGATTCGGAGATTTTGTTATTTGATTCAGTTTTTAATGTAAATATTTTAAATGTAAATAAATATCGCCAACGGAGCCTCGAACATCAAACTATTTTATTTGGATCTTAGAAGGTGGGGTGGGGGCAAGGATACATAAATATATATTTTTTAATATTAATTGTCAATATGTATTGAATACGTTTTCATTTTGAATAAAATTTATTATAAACTCGCTGAGCCATAACTGTAAATAAAAGCCATTATATGGTGCTGTCAACAGATCCAGCTATTGAGGTACATTTTTGACTTCCCAACTTTATAATACACCTACTGTATTACGTTGGTAGATATCGATACGCTTGGACAGGTTACCTTAACTCTGGCGACTTATATTAAATACCCAACTAATTCTGCCTACACTGAGACCGACCTTCCCAATTTGACAAGTTTGAGCACGAACGCGAGTCTATCTAAGTTCATATTATTGTGTATCTATACAATAACCAACACTGGAGTTAAATTACTTTGGGGTCACGCATCGTAATCCGGTGACATTAAAAACCGACTCGTCCATATATCCCGTTGACGAAAGTGAATACGATTTAAATTTCTATTCACAACATTTTTGTTTGACATTTCTGACTCTAACATAACGACCGGCTTTGGGAGATTAACCAAGGACTGATGCTGTTTTCACCCCCTCCCACCCCCACCCTCTCCCACCGTCCCATTCCCCCTCTCTCTCTCACACACACACATTCACGTTTGTTTACAGTACAAAAAAAGTACCAAACAATATCTACCGTTCTTCTAAACACAAAGCCCCTGTCTCAAAACCAATCCTGTTTTCATCTCATGCATATGTCCCGGGTTAGCCACTTTTATAAAACGAAACTTCGCCAAAGTTTCAAACAATACATAAGGAAATTTAAAGCACACTAAATTTTCTGTAACGAAATACTTGGTTTTCGTGAATCAGACAGCCCACTGCAGCTTTATCCGACTTTCCCGCCCAAACACACCTGGTGGTCACAGAAAACAGTGGATGTCTGTTTCGAGTTCGAGTGAGAAATTTACCACTGAAATACTACAACAGTGAACACTGCTGTGGGCTGAGTTTAAATTCCTTACACCCTAGTTACGTAGCTTTATTTTGAAAGTTATATTTAATAAGAACATTTCTTACAATTTATCATTCGATTACTCCACCATATATCAAACCTAAATGTTTTCTAATCACCCGAACATGTAAATTCAGTTTCTAATCTAGAAATAATATCTAATCTTGTAGATATTTTTCTAAAATATCATTACTTTCAAAAATAGTATATTTTATATTCTCTCAAGTATATATTTGTATTTGTATGTGTCGTATATCTATAGGTATCAGTTATATTTATTTGAAACCGAAACAAATCTGCCATGAAACGGATATAATCTAAATCACAAACATACTGATGTTTATTGATGTCCCGATTAATGAGATTTCGCTTAAATGCATGACTATATATATATAGTTTATCAGATATTTTTTCACGAACGAAGCGCAACTCAATTGATTTAAAGTGTTGCTCAGGGTCCCATATCGTGTAACATAGGTGATTTTTTCATGTATTTTCATCAGCTAGATTCAATTTTCTAATACTCACATAAAACGATACAGGTCCCTATACACAATTCAAATAATTCCACTTTTGATGACTCCGATGATAAGGATATGACGATTAAAGATTGTTAATTTGCAGGTACTGTTATAATAACAAACATAACCTACCCGCAACAACGCTTCCTCTTTTTTCTGAAAGAAAATACGCAAGTAAAAATTATCAGGTGATAAAAACTCAGGTAAACATATAAGTGTATATGTATTGATAAAATATAGGGTACACGTAAGCAATTATAGCATATAAGTATGAATACGATGCAGGTAACATATATATACGGTACAGGTAAAATGTTATACTATTCGATTCGATTGGACAATTATACGATACAGGTAAAATGTTATGTAAAATAGTATACGCCTACGGAACATGTAAATTATAGATTTGATTAAGGTAAAATATCATACTATACATGTCAAATATTATACGATACGGTCCTGCACAAAGGAACATTTTCACGGTATGGAAAGCTTCGTTATTTCGTTCTGACTAAATCTGCACGGAAACATATATTTGTAGACACTATATTTATATATATTTTGTACACAACAAAAAGGATAGAAATAAACGTGTAAGCTGTCCACGGCAACAACAGACTTTGCAGGTTGATGATTAGTAAAAGTATTGCTTATTTACAGGTAAATTATCACAATTATTGTCACATTAAGCTTAAAAACAAAAGCGCATTCCGGATGAGAGAGGTGTATATAATGTGTATAGCAATCAACACACCTACATATATGTAATAGATGTTTATTTCGACAACGTCATGGCTACGCGCCCAATAAAGTGTGTTGCTATGGATAAAATATAGATCGTAATCTGGCTAATGCTCTACACAAACCCATACACACACAGAGACAGGAGAGAATCACATTTTATATCTACCGCGAGACCATCCACTGATGGTCGACGTTATATCGATTTCTATAACAGGACAGACACAGGTGAAAATAAATGGGTCTGTTTCCAATTAATTGCCAATACTGACGACAATATTGTTAAATGTCAGCTGGTGACGAATTACAGATACAACACGAGGGAAAATAAACACACAGAACGTTATGCGGTAAGGTAAATAAGGAATAAAATAAAGACACATTCTGTATTATATAAGACGCATTATAGATTCATCACGACATCACGCAAGTAAACATCGTTATAAGATATAACCAAACAGCACGATATAATCTAAACGATATAAACCCGTGTTTACGGGTATCACAATATCGCGATAACTCGACATGTAAAGAACACTACGATATTGCCTGGATATCAAAACAGGACTTCACGATATTGCCGGAACATCGCGACAGGACCTCACGATATTGCCGGGACATCGCGACAGGACCTCACGATATTGCCGTGATACAACAACAAAACATCACGATCTTGCCGGGATATCACGAAAGTAAATCACGATATTGCCATGACATCACTGGCGACAGAACCTCACGATATTACCGGGACATCACTGGCATCAGAATATCACGATAGTGCCGGGACATCGCTGACGACAGAACACACGATATTACCGGGACATCACTGGCATCAGAATATCACAATATTGCCGGGATATCACGACAAAACCTCACGATATTGCTGGGGTATCACGACAGGACCTCACGATATTGCCGTGATACCACAACAAAACATCACGATATTGCCGGGATATCAAGATAGTACATCACGATATTGCCATGACATCACTGGCGACAGAACATCACGATATTACCGGGACATCACTGGCATCAGAATATCACCATATTGCCGGGACATCACTGACGACAGAACACACGATATTGCCGGGACATCATTGGCGACAGAACATCCTGATATTGCCGGGATATCACGACAGAACATCACGATTTTGCCGGGACATCACCGGCGACAGAATATCACGATATTGTCGGGACATCACTGGCAACAGAACATCACGATATTGCCGGGACATCACGACAGAACATCCTGATATCATGATTATACGACAGAACATCACAATATCGAGGTAGCACGTCACTTCAGCAAGATCTCACGATATCTTGCTGTTGTCTAATATAACGGATTTTGACAATGTATTATATCTACAGAATGTGTCTTTTGTTAAACATTGAAAGAATGAGTCCTAGTTAAAAAGGAAAAGAAAACAATAAACCACCAGTATCGTATCCACATCAGTACTGCGATTCCTTTGATTTATAAAGTAAGGTTTGCATTCTTTGATTTATTTCAGTGGATAAGATTCTGGAGATTAGAAATGGCGGATCTAGAAGGGTTTTCTGGGCTCCAGGAGCTCCGTCCCAAGTCGGCAGGGGAATTTTCTTGAAAGAAACGTTTCCCGAAATGTAATTACCACCCCACTCCCATCCCCGCCCACCAACATTGGTCTAAATCCGCCACTGCTAGGTAACACACATCAAAGGTAAATAGTAAGTAAACAGTGAGTAAACAGTAAGGGGTGATTGCAGAGATGGCCTTTTTTTTCTCCAATATTAAAAATGAATTTCCTTGTTATTACAAAGGTTAAGGAAGAAGAGTTTTTAATTAACTTATTCATCACCACCCGGATATTTTGTTTGAGGTGTTATCCATTACAAACCAGACTGGTCGTTTTATCAAGATTCTTAATCTAGCTTTCTGACGTCTTAATTTTTTTTTTTTCCCAATCAAATTTCTAAATCAAGTCTCTCGTTATGATTTGGTCCGCTGGTGATAATTTCAAATTCCGACAAGAAATAACTAGTTTATTATGAAATTAAGCTAGATTATTCAAATTTATGGTAATAAGTTTAAGTCAACATCGAATGAGATAAACATATTGATAGTGAATCAAGTTACCAGATGTTTCAACACTTATGACATATGTCATCGAAAAAGGCCATTTCTACAAACACATTATCAGAAAATACCTTCTTGTGAGCAGGCTTTTCAGGATGTGATTTAACAGGAATAGGATCGTGAGAGGTTTCCACTACATTGTTAACTTCCGGTTCCAGTTCCGAGTGGTGTTCCGGTTTTATTATTCTATAGACAACAGGCGGTGGAGATTCGCCTTTAGAATGAAGAGGTTTAGTAGTAGGAACAGAATAGTAAACAGGATCCACCACATTTTCAACTTCCGGTTCCGTATTTGATTCCGGTTTGTTCCGATTCTTTTTTGGCCTTGGAGACCCCTTGGACTTACCAGATTTGTTGGGACGAGTATATTTACCATTATCCGCATATGGATCTAGTTTTTGTTCTGTTTTTTTCAAATGTTCACCTTTTGTGTGGGGATAGTTAGTTGAAATTTGATAATAATCAGGACCAGTCAAAGTATCTGTTTCCGGTTCCGTTGTGTTAAAACGAGGTGAACGTTTGGGATGGTCAGATTTAGAAGGAGGTATAGTGTAAACAGGATCAGCAGAGTTATGAAATATCGGTCCCAGATCTGGGTTCGGTTTGTTAACAAGAGAAATTACTGGAGATGGAGCGTTTTTGACCGGAAATGGGTTAACACTAACAGAAAAGTACAGAGGATCAGAAGGTGAATTAGCATCCGGGTTTTTGTAGAGTTCCGGTCTAGCAATACTATACATTACCGGTGGTGGTGGCAACGGTTGTGGTGCCGGTATCTCAATCCTAGGTGGTGGTTTAGCAAACACTAATACCTCCTCCTGTGGTTCTATTTCCGGTTCCTCTATATTAATGATTGCCGTTTTGTACCGAATTGGAGCTGGTTCGTATGGCGATAGAGGTTCAACTTCCGGTGATGGAGTCAGCTCGCGGATGCTAGGGGGCGGAGAGACAACCCTTGGACTTGGTATGGGGGTGGGGTCTGGGCTGGATATGGGGGATGGGTCTTTGGTAGGAACAGGACTTGGGCTAGGGGAGGTGTACGTAGATGTGGACGGCGTAGAGGGAGGAGAAGGGATGTGCACTGTTTGGCATCCCATGTTCCTAACAAGTTTCTTTTTCGGCTGCTCGATGAGATATTTCGTGGTCATCTGCACACCGACATGACGTTGCGCTGGTTTTGACGTAGGAGGGGGAATCATGGGAGGTTTGCTGGACACGTGAGTGGCCCGTTCGTAAACTGGTGGACGAGGAGGAAGTGTCGGGGCCAACTGTTCGCGATGCAGAGTCTGTACCGGTTGCACTTTCCTGACGTACCGCTCATGCTCTGCAGACCGAGGTCTTGACATGAGTCTTGAGGAACGTGCTACATTTGCATACCCACGTGTACTCTGTCCAAAATCGCGTGACACCACACGCTTTTCGTATGTAGCTGAGCGCGGACGAGGAATCAAACGTTTGGTATCGATTTCGTCATATGTATCCGACTCTGTTTCATCAGTATAAGAATCGGAATAATCCGATATTCGGTCTTGTGTCCGATAAAATAAATACTGTTTATCTACCTTTGGCTGTTTCGTTTGTTTAACAACCTCCCGATGTTCCTCACCCTCCTCATCCTCAGAATCTAGACACGTGCATCGGAACATTTTTAAACCAGCACAGCAGTAAAGACTGTCCACGACTTCCACACATCCACAGCAGCATGTCTCTACCTCCTTATCAACCTTCTCGACCTGTGGCTTCGTGTCCACCGTCTCTCGGACGTAATATCGCTCCGGGGACGGGGAAACATGACGTCTCTCCGGTGACGGCGACACGTGACGTCGTTCCGGGGAGGCATTCACGTACTGTCTGTCCGAACTACGAGTGACATTTCTATCTACCACTAGACGTCTGTTCGGACTCCGGTTCACGAGTCTCCCCTGTGATGTAGTATGGCTCACAATCCTCCGTTCGGGAACTGTCACTACCCTACCTGACTTGTAGGAATCAACTCTCCTGGTATCTCTATAAGCCATATTTGTTCCCTGATGGGTTCTTTGTCGTCCCCTCAAACCGTCCGTTCGGAGTCTGTCCAAGTTAACGGTGCCGAAACTTTCTACATTCCCACTTTGTCTTCGTTCGGTCTCCGATGATCTCTCTATCCGGCTGTATCCGGGACCTCTGCCATACAATCTCTCACTCTCTGAAAACTCCAATTCTCCTCCGGTGACATCACTCGGAGCCCCTCTCATTTCAAGGTGTTTAAAACTCGTAATAAATCAATAAATCACTGCTAAGCACAGTTATCCGTAGTCAACACTGAAATATTTCCACATAGAAATCCAGGCGAAAAATCACCACACATACAACAACGCTAGGTTTCCATTTGAATTCACTGACTTTAAATGTCAGCCATACGCTTTCACTGATCTGTCAGGCACCACATCATTGCTTACGTGTTTGTGGCCCTAGTTACCATAAACAAACTCGACGCTGTAAGACGACGGACAGGTCAGCTTTAACTGGACACAACGATCGTTGACCAACAATAAGCCGCTCAACAGTGCGTCCACGTAATTATAATTCCCACCTGTGGTCAAATATAAAACTCGCTAGTCCAATAGTGGTAGAAAGTGCTACGGTTGTGTATGAACGGCCGTCTACCTTTTCCTACAGGTACCACACATATACAGGTACTCTAATCGTGAAATATACCGTATCCAATGTACATTTTAATAGAATAAATACAAAACCGGTTTTCGTGTAGAAAACCCCGTTATGGCACTGTGAAGTGAAACAGGTAAACACGGGTTTTTCAATATACCTGACTGGTTTTACAGGTAATAGGCGATTACGGAAAAGGCGTTTGTATACGTTTACATTATACGTCTTTGATAAAAAAAAATACCATTGACTATAATTTCATTTAGAGGAATCATGTTACATACAGCAGGGTAACTAAATTCTATTAAATTTCACTGAACGAGATCGTGGTCAGTGATAGGGTTAACACAAGCAATTGCGTAACGGAGTTTTATTCTATGTTCATAAATTACATTTAGATCTGTAGTTTCAACGACAAATCCATACACAGGGCAATAATTCTTTCCTCTTCTATTTAAAAATTAAAGACATCAATGTTGCAATCACAAAAAAATGTCAAAGAATTCATTTTAAGTTGTCCAATGAACATTGAAATCAAGAAATACTCCATTTTAAAGGATTGATTTTTTATAAAGATTGACTGAGATGAAAACTTCCTGTTTGCTTATATATCCCCGCAAAGAGCCAAAGACGTTTTAAAGTACAATCTGACAAAAATGTTATAAATTGGTGTAAGAACGGTAGAACGACACGCCACCTGAACAAGAGATGCGACATCACCGAAAAAAATGTTTGAGAGAGAATTTTTTCTGTAAATAATTAAATGATGTGATTAATGAAAAATAAGATTTATCGGCGAATAAAACTACGTGACGGTAATGACACATAAATTCACCGTTGAATACAAAATATATTTCTCTATGTAAATAATAAACGTTAACTAGCTGTTGAGATTCAATCAAGAAACTATCAGATGTCTTCAACAGTGTTAGTACAATTTGTTTGTTTGTTTGAGAGGTTTTACGTCCGCTTCACTACCGAGTAGTTCGGTTATCGAGCAGACGAAAATATAGTAATTAAGTCTGGCTTTGTTCTATATATGTGACTTTCCCTTCCTGATTATTGATGCAACTGTCATTCCTTTTACATCTATAATATACTATGATTATGTAGGTAGATCTTTTCAACAACTTTCTCATTCTGATCCTGGTATCATAAAAACGTATAACCTCTAACACGAGGGTACCCAATCCATGGAACCGTTGACTTCAAAAAAATAATCATATCTGGAACACCAAAGTTTTTACTATAATAAAAGAATAGAGGCCTTTATCTTTTATTTCAGGTATTTCTTGAGCACAACCAGCACGTGTGTCTATTCATAGAGCTCCTTTAGTAAAGTCAGGTTAACTTGGAATTTTTAGCTTGCTGGGTACCCAAAATTGAACACCTCTTTATGTCTGTTTATGAAAATACTCAACAGCTTTTGAAATATTTGTAACTTTCTAATACATTTTAGTCAAATATAGATTTCAACGCGATTTGAAGGGGTTTAGAAATGTGATACGATATTGATGTTAATATGACTGCTTTTTCCGGATTTTTTTTATTATCTTTCAATTGACTCCATGAGCAAAATAAACAAGGTAGGTAAACAAAGCTTCCCCAACTGCTTAAAACTAAATAAACTCTGATCAAGAATAGATACCATTCAGGTGTATTGCAAAATAGAAAAGCTGCACATAAATATGACAAGCTATCCAATTTAGGTACCGTTCTATTTTGGGTACCCTCGGAACATTGCGCACAAATTAAAAATCACCTTTCCTCTCAAATGTTCTAGTATAATATTTTCTCCGATGTAGACTACCCACTACGCCAAGTCGAAAGGTGATTTCTAAACACAGGTTCTTAAGCAGTAACCCATTTTAAATATATTTTTCCTAGATAACGGGGGGCCAAACTAGAAAATATTGCACAAGGGAGGTAACTCAAAAATAAATTATTATTAAAAGAACACAACACATGAACGTGGAGAATGTGATTTTATTCTGATCAACTTTGTATACGAGAAATGAGTGCATGATATATATATCTGGTAACACATAAGATGTTTCTGATGATGAAAATATGGTCAACATCTGACTTCTAAATACATGTGGAAATAAAATGTCAGAAGTTCATAGTTCCGAATACAGCCCTTATAAAATTAATAATATTTGATGATCTTTCCTGCTGAATCAAGCTCAGAAACTTATTTTTTTCCATTATAATTAGACATTCAGCTGAGATCAGGAAAAGTCAGTACTGTCAGACTTTTCTTTTTTTTCAACTATGATTAATGCCAGGAAATTTCGACCAAATGTATAAAATGATAAATTTAGCTTTATTAATTAAAAAAAAAAAAAAAAGTTTTTAACCACTTGGGTCCATACAATACTGCTTGATAGGGACATTCAATTACTTATAAAATGTTGATTTTTTTTTTACTTCAATAATTATTTTACACATAATTTTACTTTTTGAAATTTAGGGACATTTATCATATGCACCTTTTGTTTCAATAAATAGACCATGTTGCGATAAATGGGTTAGGGTCAAGGGTCATGACAGTAGAGGTGAATTGTGTCAAACACCTACATGGGTATTGGGTAAAATGTATATTCTCAATAAATAAATTTAAATAAATGTGCATGGGTGAACAAATGAAAACTTATTTTTAATATTAAAAGAACTTTAACAGAAAGATGTGAGAAAAAATATGAAAAAATGTTAAAATATAAAATAACAATGGTTTTATTTCAACAAGGGACAATTTTTCTGTAAACTGTTAAGTCAAGTGTCTATGTAACAGACCTCACTAACTAAAATGGGTGATTGTAGACAGGTTTATAAGTTAACTGACATCTAATTAGCATAACAGACCTAGTTAAATAGAGTTCCTTTTCCAGTTAACTGACATTTTTAATTTGCTAAAGATTTATTTTTGTCTTACCATCAAAATGGAGTCTGTAATCAAGCTAAACAAAGCCTATATGTTGTTTCAACAGAAGTCTTGATTTAAATAACATTATTTTGTAACATGTTTGTACTGTACAGTTCTAAAATTGAGGATAAATGTAGCCTCACTGTGGCTTTGTATCACCTCTCTAAAAAGACTTTCCCGCTAAAAGGTTGTCAAAAAGTTATTTTTTACCTTATTTATCAAATGGTGATAAATTTAAAAGGCACATAAAAATACACGTGATAAAGCATTCAGATCATTAATTTTCTATCAGTTATTTTAAAATCTTCAAGGGGAGTAACTCTATCACAAATCAGGGGAGTTAACTCTTGCACACATTTTAAGCATAATGTCTAAAGTAGCATTCATTAGTAAGGGATAAATCTCTTTAAAACAAATCAGAGGTATATTGTCTAAGGAACACTGTAACAAAAATTGACAAGGGGAATAACTCTAACACAAATTACAGGTATGATTATAGGTATATAAGGAAGCATACCTCCTTAACCTGAAATTAAAATCTGGTAAACAAATTAAAACTTTTGTCATAAACTTCAATAGTGCCCTATGTATAAGATATATTATAAAACCCAGCAAGGACGGAAATATTTGAGAATCTTCATAAAAATCTATTATAGTACATGTAGTACTGAAATAGTTGTATTACAGATACACTTTACAACCTTCATATAAAACAAACACAAGAAAAATCTGTTCTCTAATAACAAAATTATTTTTAAAGCCAAAAACAACAAAAACTTCGGACAAGAAAGCTTTATAAGGTCACACTCCAATAAGTAAGGAGGACGGTTCATTATGGAAAGAGTACTTAATTTGGTAATTAATCTATGTAAACACGAAATAGATTTTTTTCTTAATGATGGACCCTACATCAATGTACAATTTGGATTTCTAAAAGCATTGTTTACACATATATCACAAACTGACATACAGTTTTTACATACTGTTGTTGAGCAAAAAAAATACAAAATTTAATGATTTCACAAGTTGTGTCTGATAAATTACCTCATAATGTGTAGGTACATGGAATGAAGTTGAAGAATGTACAACATGTAATAATAACATATGTAGTCATATTTTTGCATTTACTACACACGAGGAGGCCAGCACATGCAAACACTACTTTTACTTATTTTGGGAAGCAGAATAGTCCAGCATATATACCAGGTACATCAAAATTCCCTTGTCCTATATGGACAGGAAAAATAAATTTTGCATCAAGGGAGATAAATCCTACAACACCAGAACAGAAATTAATTTTAAGTCTACGACACTGGTGTATTTACTTAGTGTTTATCAGCTTTGTTATATTACTATGTCTACTAAAATTTTCTTCTCTCCACAAGGCTTTTCTGGGGAAAAAATTGCGAGAATGTCTACTTAATCTATAACAATGCCAAAGACGGCCATGTCTCCAGTAGACATATATTCTTTTGCCTGTACATGTGTATTGTTGTATTGAGAAGTGCAGCGTCGCAGAGAGAAACAGCACCTCAAGGCAGGTAATAAAGTGTTACCCAAGGGTAAACTAGGAAATAATAATACCATGGGCTAAGATATCAAGATACTCAGTAATAGTTGACAAAGTTACAGACTTAGTCATACTGGCTGCGCGACTCTCCGTATTTTTGAGGGAGACTCTCGATTTTGGACTCTATAATTCAGCATTTTTAAAACCGTGAATTTGCGAAACTATTCCTATTTTTTAAGATTCGATATTTCATCTGAAAGAAAAGCTCAAAAGATGCCATTAAGAAGTGATAGTTTTTCAATAGGGTGTACATACACATGTTTTAATTGTGCTTTTAACTCTTAGAGTGTGTAATCTCCCCAAAGGAAATTTCAAAAAGTTGGCAAGTATGCTTAGTGAACATAAAATTGTAGCAAAGGAAGTCTTTGGTACCTAGACTGTGTGTGAATGGAATCTCAGTAACCTGGATTCTAGTGAACAATGTCTCAATGAACCTAGAATCTAGCGAACAGTCTTTGTGAACCTTGGATCTAGAGAACCAAATCCTCATGTTCATCCTAGAATAGTGAACCAAATCTTACTGAACCTTAAGTCTAACGAACCAAGCATTAGTGAAGCTAGAATCTAGCAAATCTTGTGAATGAACCAGGAGTTTCATGAACCTTCACTTTCATGAACCAAAACTGAGAAATACACAGTCAAGCACCAATTAATTTAAGACTCCGGTCTATCACTTTTGAAGTACTACTAACTCTTAAGATTAAATGCAATTTGGTGAACAAACAAAAAAAATCTACAAACTCTCCTCTAAAAGTGAAGCTAGAAAAAATGTTCTTTAATGTTTTTGTATTTTATGACTTTGAATAACTCTATCTAACATGATTGTTTTTACATGAACAAACTTCACAATAATCATGTAACCTTCAAAATGAGGGCAATTGATCACATTTTCTCTTTCTGCCATAAATAAAACAAAAATATATACAGTATATGTACCTCTCTCCATCTTCACATACTTTATGCCATCATTATTAATAACACAATGTAATACAACAGTATACTGAGTAGCTATACTCCCATCATGCAACAGTCTATGTTACTAATAATATTTGAATATTTTGTAAATATCAAAATATAATTTCGGAATATAGTGCAATCATATACATAGAAGACCCATGAAGCCAGTATAACATATACTCACCCAGTTAGAAAAAATAAATAAAAATAAAATAAAAATAGAACGATTAAGTGACTTAGATATGTCAATGAAAGCCCTAAAAATTGGTTTAATTACTTTGTAAAACCCTTATTTTTAATGAATACATATTTTGTATTGTTCTTATACATGAACAAATTCACAAGAACTTCACTATGTAAAAGAAAAAATACCAGTGTATAAGTGAGGAATCACAAAACATGTAACAAACAAGAGGCCCAGAGGGCCTGTATTGCTCACCTGGATATGTTTAAAGTACTTGATAAGAGGTAAAGATATAGCACTCCGTGGTAGGTACTGTATGTACATATGAAATTTCAGAAAGATTCATCCAGTATTTCTGGAGATAAAGCAAGAACAAACTTCAATTGCCAAAATCTAAGATGGCGGCCTGGTGGCCATCTTGTTTTAATGAATGGATGGACAGACGGCGGAAGGACAATGGACGCTGCGCCATGGCATAATCTCACTTGCCCAAAGGGATGGTGAGCTTAAAAAACAGAGACAGGGTGTCTCCTTGTTGTAGACAATGTCTGTGGAATATTTAATTCGTTCACCAAACTCTGACAATAGGATTAACAAGGTAAACAGTACTAGATCTGACTGGTTACAATATATCACAGAAAATAGCCAATCACAGACATTGTTACAAAATTAACCACAATATTAGAATCCAAGGAATTTCAATGAGACAGTTGATTAGGAAAAATAGCAAGAAGGAGCACCAATATATTTATATATATCTAAACAGTCTTCTGTAACAACTAACAAATACAGGTCTTCACTCTTTAGAGAACCTCTGCTTCAACCTCAAATGTAAGAGAAAATTAACATCTCTTTCATTCACCATTAAGAAAAAGGTAAGCCTCACTTTCAATCACAAAGTTAGCCCCACTTTCAATCGCATGAGAAAGTAAGCCTCACTTTCAATCACAACGTAAGCCTCACTTTCATTAGTATGAGAAAGTGAGTCTCTCTTTCAACCAAAAGAATAAGTAGTAGATAAAGTCATACTGGTCGTACATTCATTACCCACAGAAACTAGACATCATTTTCAATGTCCATAGATAAATATTTTTCAGTTTTTGATCACAACTGGAAGAATAAGGTAAGCATCATTTTAAGTTACAGGAGACAGTATCATGTTTGAATCAATTTCCAGAAAGTGTAAGCCACATTGGACTCCCTCACTAGCCTCATTCTGAGTATACATGAGATTTTTACCCTGACCCATATACAGTACACAATGAAGCTCAACAACTTTAAAGTTTCTGTTCATGTTCCTCAGCATCACTATTGAAACAGAATAAGATTTCAGAAACATCCTTCCAGTGGACTGTATGAGGTTTTTGGGACTCCTCTCCCTGGCCCTCATCCCAATATACTTCAGATGCACAACTGCAATGTAAAAGCTTGTACATTTTGTACCATGGTTTTGTACATGGCCTGCTGGGATAACCAGTATACCACAATGGACCAGGCAGCTGTAAAGAATCTGGGATTGCTTAGGATTACTTTTGGCCACTTTTTAATCTCACACAAATGATTTAGTGTGAGAGGAAACACTACCGACTCGATCTCTACAATGAGAGTTCTACAACAAGATGAACATCAGAATTATGCCAATCTGTTGCATTTAGAGCGGAGTCACTTATCTCCCTTTTCATATTATCATTCTGACTTGTATTTTGACTTGAAGCACAGGTATTTGCTGGTGGAATCATGGGAGCCGTTTGCAGTGTTTGGTCGGCGGTGCTCGAACACCTGAACCGGGTTGTGATGTATGAGGTAATGTTCCAGTGTATCCCAGCCTCCACCTACTCGTACCATCAGGTGACGGTTCTGCAGGAACTGCAACAGAGGTCAAAGGTCAATACCGAAAAATTAATTTTAATACGTGAAACTGGTGAGAGAACAGATCAAAGTGGAATAATTTAAAGCTTAAAATCCTCACAAGGGTCAAGAATAATGCACAACCCGGTTTTTTCAGGAATTAAGCAACAATGGTCCAAAGATTAATGAAGAGTTTAAAGGTTGAATTCAAAATTGATCAATTACAAAGGTCAACATATTCATAACCATGCAAATTCAGTTTTAAAAGATTCAATAATTAAATAGTACTTTTATGCAAGTTAATTAACGTTGAAATCAAGTATAATTTCTAATGGACCCAGAAAATTTAAATATCTCTCTATATAGTGTTCAGTTTATAGTAGGTTATTACCATCAATCAAGATGACTTTAACCTAGCTTTACAATGAATATTAAAATCTGTTATTATAAGACCAGTATATCTACCAGCTGGATGAAACTCTGTACCATAAACTACCAATGGACAATTCAGTATGTAAAGAGTTTGAATTCTCTTCACTGTTATTATGTCCCGCTAGACAACCTTTTTATTGATGTCCTGTGAAACTGGTCGACACTGCAAATAACCTACAAGAACTTCCTATTGCTCCTTCGCCTGTTGTGATTAAATCTATTTTCTGAAGTCTAATTTGTTATACATGTTGATTAAAGATGATATTACCAAGTTTTCTAGAAAACTGCTGTAGATAATCCAGATCTATATTACACTGGTAAATGAATAAAGATTAATTTTGGCCAAAATTTGAAAATGTCATCTGAGTTAGAGATCAGTGAATGTACTTCTACAAAATTTTCTTCTGGAAGAGAAACACAAATTTTCTTCTGGATGAGAAACAGACGTCAGAAAAAATGTAATACAAAGTGTCACAATAAAGCCAGGAGGTCCGTTTTGTGTCCCAAAGATGACAAATGTTGACAAAGAAGAAAATCCTTCATTCCACAGAAAACCCACATTAGTTTATATGACCATGCGATGCAATGTGTTTTCTGAATTGTCCTGACTTATAATTATGATCACACACAAAGTAAACTTGATAGAAGTGCATTGTATAACCATCTACATTTTTTTTTTTTATATTTGATATGCGTTTAAATCAAATTAGGTAATGTAGAACACATACTAAATGATATGACATCTTAATGACATCCACAAAAATACTGATCCCATTTGAATAACGTAAGAAATCATTATTCCTTTTCCTGTCATTATAGACAATTACAAGAATCATTTCAAAGTAACAAAATACGGAGATCATATATTACCACTATCAAATTTTGAAAATGATTAAGCAGAAATTTTACATATTTGAAATCACCTGTGAATTGTTCAAAACTATTGGTAAATAAACATTATCATTCTTATCATCCTATATCAGAAAATACACAAACATTTATCTTTTGATATTACCATTTTTTGTTGATATTGATAGATCAAATGAAATGCCCCATCAAACTAATTGAAAAATTTGTGATTTTGATTGAGGGTTTTATCTACGATGTTGAGATATTATACAAGCTGGTGTGACGTGTCGGTGATTGTATCAAATCGTGCTCGCTCAGATGACATGGTGGTATGCTGCGAACAAAAGCGTCCATTAAGGCCGTCTCGACTTACAAGATTTTTGACTTAGTGTATTCAACAGGTTCGAACTTTTGACACGCGTGTGCTGTAGGTAAGAATTCTACTGTTAGTATGGACTATTCATTATCATACATAGTCCGACCCCATTAGCCACAACTAATAGCAGTAACTGGTGGGTTTTTTCCTACTACATGTACATGTATTTACAGGAATTCAAATATGATTGGGGACTGGAAATAAGGAGGAAACCAAAGAGAAAAGGGACACACCTCACCCCATTAGAACCTTTTTTTTTTATTAATATTCAAGAACAAATCGAGAACTTTCAAAATCATATTGGGGGGGGGGGGAAGAAATCCTCCGAAAAGAGGAAGAGTCACATCCCTGTATCTATGAAGTCTATCCAACTAAAATATGGTCATTCAACCTTTTTGGAATTGTGAACAAAATATCCTACAGATTATCACAATTTGTGCATCACCTTGTTCCACTCCTCAGGAAAACACAACCAAATCTGATCTTAACTGGACACAAGCACATGACATCAATAAATGTTACCTATTTATCCTGCAATAAGCTCAAAGGGTCCAAAACGTTAAGCCCTGACTCAAAGTAGGGGATGGGCTTACTACAGGACAATGAAATACTATTTGTTAGCATTTCTAATGAAATGTAATAGATATGAGTGGGCTTATATAATTTATTGATGCATACATATGGTATTATCATATTGGGGAAACAATGCATGGACTTGTGTTAAAAGTGGTAATAAAATCTAGCTTAGTGTATTATATTCATTTTTTTTATCCCATCACCTCCCTCCTTGATTTACTTGTAATTAGAGAAAACTGATGTCAAGAATTTTGAAAGAGATTGTGAGCAACTTGTTAACAATTTCAAAAATCACGAAACCATACCTGGTACTTTAAGTGGGATAGATTCTAGCCAGTTAATGTGTTTCAGGCGACATTCTCTGATTTTCAAAAAAATGCAGCCAGGCTGACATGGTTTTATTTTAAATGTACCACAACTTTTAAGCGAATAAACAGGGAATCATATATAGCTACAGGAAATTATAGAAATTAACTTTAAAAAAAGACTTACCCGAATCTGAACCACCTTGCCGAAGATGAGATACTTTCCCTCGCCGAGTTTCTTGACATGATCGTGGCATTTACACATGAAGGCTATTCTCTTCACCTGCAAATACACAAACATAAACCCTCATTTCCTGGTCATTTTATAATAATACTTATACAATATTTATAAAGAATATGTAAATAAGACGAACAAACCCATATTACCTTGACCTGTATTTAGGCATTGCCCAATGTTCATATAAGTTAATTTTCCATTGTTCAAATTCCAAAACTTTGGAACAATCTTTTTGGGTTTACAAAAATAATCACAAACATACAGTAACTGTTCAATATATACCTCAAGTAACAGATGCAAATTGAAATTTAACTCCAAATTTAATAAAAAGAAGTATGTAATTCCATGAAGTCTGAATTTTCTCTATAATATTATTTAGAAGCTTTCATCCATGAAATCTGCTGGCCTGTGAAAATTTCACATACAAGTTTTTATTTGCTTCAATTTGTAATCATCCACTTATAATGTATTTGGATTTCCATTTATTATAGTAATAATCACAGGGGCATGGCATAGGTCCACACCAACTGCAGTTGGTATAATAGATAATATCACAGCACTGATATCATGTATACCGGTACATTAATTCATACAAAATTTATCAAACTCTCTTCAGCCCTGATGAAGTCACAATCAAAATTCTTTTAAATTAACTTCTAACAAATTTACAAATTATTTAATTTCCACGTTTTCACAAAATATTTCGATGAAAAACAATTATTTGAATAAAAAAGTGACAGCTCCATATAACAATGTCACATCAAATTTACAAAAATAATGTACTTGTTATAGATTTTTTTGAGCGGGATTTGATTGCAGGCTCACATATCAGTTTACAATCGTTAAAATGACAAGCTGTTAAAAATGACTTTGTCTAAAATTAGAAAAACATTTGTAATCTAATTATGTATGTACCTGCTCCTGCTCTTAATGGAAACAGAACAAATGCCTAACTTAACTCATTCACCCCTGAAGTTGCATAATGAACTCTTCCAACCTTTGCATTGGAAGAGTTCAAATGTGTCTTCAGGGGTGAATGAGTTAACTCAGTGAAGCACAAAATATAGATCACAGTGACCTACATTAGACATATTGGTATATCACTCCCCAAGATATATGCACATGTGACATTTGATGCCGACAGAGCATTAGTATAATTACATCTAAATGCAAAGTGTAACCAAGATTTTGTAAGGTCAGACAGACCTACGGAAAAAGAAAGGCAAACATCTCATGCTCCTTCCAGTATGTTGTGGGGACATGAAATCAGTTTCTTAATCAAATTAAGATATTTTAAAAGATGACTTCATACATTATGCTGATGAGAAAATGTCATCTGTAAATGTTTCAAAAATAAAGTCAACACTTTGTATCTCTATTAGAATTAATATTGATATTCTAGATATATTTTGATCAATTTTTTTAGTTTTAAATAAAACTAATGTATTAGTTTCTTTCACACAGCGCCAGTCACTTTTAAATTATCATAAGAACAAGCCGCAACACATTTTTCCAACTGTTAAAGCAATCTCACAAGAAATTAATTCACAGAAAAATAAAATTCAAACAAATTCATCACTCAGAACAGTCATCACTAAATACAAAACAAAACATAACATCTGGTGGAGGAAGTACAAGACTCCCTCTACAAACCACAGTGGACCTGTCCACAACAAAGGATAGGCCAGTCTATTTGGTAAATTCAGGGGTGTAAAATCCATTTTATTTTTTGTTCCATTAAATGGTGTAATTTTTCAGCAAAACTGACACAAATTTATCTATAATTCTAGAAACATATCCCCTTGAATTTGTCATGGTAAAAAGAAAAAAGAAAAACGAAAAAATGGGGATGAGGCTACATATGTAATCTCCCATTTCAACATTCATTCACAAAGTTATGTCTTCAATCATGCTACAGGCAAAAGATGTGAAGTTGATGAAGCAGCAGGCAGGTTACATGTCCAAGGACCGTCAGCATCTGTTAGGAATGCCAATTCATTATTCCTTTTATTTACATCAAAAACACAAAATTACAATGAATAAATACAGGGACTTGAGAATCAGCCTTGTCACAGCGATTCAAGAATCAGTCAGGAAACAGTCATAAGAGATGCAATTATAAATATATCCAAGAAGTTGGAATGCCAGATATCCAAGAAGTCTTGCCAGTTCCCTTGGGTGTATACAGGTAATTTTATTTGCTTACTCCTTCACCAATACAAGCATGGTGAACAGTCAAGGCCAATATTACTTTTTCTTGCTTGACCTTCAAATGAGACAGCGAGAACAGCAACTGAGCAATAACATGGTGGCAAAGTAAAACCCAAACAGTGGTGAAGGAAGGAACAAACATGATGGCAAGGGGCTAGAACACGGCATCTAAAGAGTGAGAATATGGCGTTGATGAAACGATAACATGACATTGAGGGTCCAGCAAGAAGACATTGGGAAGGGAGCTAGAAAACAGCAGAGATGAAGAAATAAAGTGATAACAAGGGGCAGAAAAGCAACAGAACAAAAAATAACGTAATGGCGAAGAAGTATCAGAAGATGATGGCAAGAGAGCAGGAACTTGAGAACAAGGGACTGAGAAGACAATGGCAAAGAATTGGCTTTAGTTTGGTTTATTTATTTTTTAATGTCCTATTAACAGCTAAGGTCATTTAAGGATGTGCCTCCATGTGTGTAAAGTATGTGTGTATGTGTGCATGAGGAGACAGGATATGGTGATGTATATGGCAAAGGAGAAAGAGCATGAGGACAAGGGACTGAGAAAACAATGGCAAATGTACAAGAACTTGTGAACAAGTGGCAAGAAAGGCAAGGGCAAGGGAAGGGAGCAAGAACACATTGGCGATAGAATAAGAAGGGGATGGCAAAGGAACAAGAACTTGAGAACAAGGGACTGAGAAGACGATGGCAAAGGAACAAGGACTTGAGAACAAGGGACTGAGAAGACGATGGCAAAGGAACAAGGACTTGAGAACAAGGGACCGCCATTTATTCTCGCTCTCTTTGTGTTGGGATCTCAGTTTCCTCATGTTTAGATTGAGTAGCAAGGACGAGAGGATGATGTGTCTCCTGATTTTAGATGACAACAAAGCTGAAAGGATGTACATAATATGTACCAGGTACTAACGGAAGTGTTCTCACACCCCTTACTTCCCTTCATCCTCAAATTCTTCCCTAAAGCTGTCAATATCAGCTGTATTTCTATTGGGGACAAAATTCTCTGTCACTGTATCCAGACTGATTCCGAAGCCCCTGTGCTTTATGTTGAATCGTGGGAGAAACACTCACCCTGGCTAGACACTCCAAATAGTGTTCACAACCCATTCCGAATCCGCACTAGTAACCGCAAGAGTGTATGCCATATACATTTCAATATGCATTCTCACATTTTTTTTGTTATTGTTCTAAATTCAAGTTTTTAAACCAGCAATAGATATCATTAAATGAATCTCTTTACATTCACACTGTGTTAGTTTCCTCAAGAATAAGCTACATGTGTATTCAATATTTTTTCTTATGTTAATACATTTCTGCATAATAGATCAATAGTTTTACAGAATATTTTTACTGTACATTTTCTCTGAGCATCTTTTTTCATTTACACAGAAACTGAGTAGCACAATAATAATAAAAAATGATATAAAATGATTTTCAAGTTTATTTTTGTATTTGCTAAGTCAACACAATAGGGTGATATATACTACATTGAACTGCAAAGCAATAAAATATGTCTAAAGCGAATACCCAAAACAGGTAGGTGGGGTTTACAAGGCAAATGAAATGATGACAGATGAAAATTTTGAAAAAAATAATACTGTTTTGGATTCAAAAATGAAAAAAAATAGATAAACATGTACAACCTTTTGCAGTAACACCCTGATACATTAAATTTCTATTATAGTTGTCTCCCTTTATTTCTTTTAAACGTTAGGAAAAATAGCAAAAACTACCGAATCGTTGTCAATGTTTTTATGCATTTTGTTTAAGCTTTAAACTGTTGTGTCAAATTCATTTACCCAATCTTAATCATCTTCAGGAAAAGATAATAAACAGGTTATTTTTTAAATGGAACTCTTCTGAATATGCAGTAGATGTCCCTAAAACTAGGATACAGTCTTAAGTAATATTTGTCCCAAAAGACTTTGGAGCTCATTAACTGATATATTTAAGATTTATTATATGAATTATCGATTTTTAAAAGTCATTCATGCCTCCTTGGTGCACTAACAATAATGTATGTCATATTTTTGTTAACCTCCCCAGGAATCAACCGATATATATATATATATCGGTGATCATTCTTGACACTGGAAAGGTCACAGACATATTTGTACTTTCATATTTCACATGTGCTTGAACTTTTGTTGCATCTTAAGGATCCCAGTTCCACTGCAATGCGGTATTTCCTATATATACAGTAACCTCCCCTTAGCTTCAGTTTATATACATGTTTAACTGTAGCACAGCTGGGCCCGTACATGTCTCCCTTTTTTATTTCCTCCCTCCATACTTAACCCCTTCTACTCATTTTCCCATCTTTTCTTCGTCTGCTTGATAACTGAACTACTCAGTAGTGAAACGGGCATAAAACCAATCAATCAATCAATCAATCAATCAATCGGACCTGTACACTTCCATTGACCCGTGCGGGGGTCTTAATGTGGGAGGAAACCGGAGTACCCAGAGAAAACCCACGTGGTCGGGCAGTTGACCCCATACCTTTTCACGTCAGGTCGGGGAATCGAACCCCGGTCGTCTTGGTGACAGACAAGAGCGCTATCCACTGCGCCACCCGACCACCTCATCTTAAGTGTCTTTTTCAAAAAGGTCCCAGAAGGTATGTTTTTCTCTTCAGAAATCATTTATCAAAGCTCTACTAATACCTGAAAAATAGTTTCCAATACTTTATTACAGTTTATTTTGCAGTGTTACCAGGATCCTTAAGGAAGCATCCTCTCTATATGTATAGTGGCCATTGCCTATTCTGGTGTATTGCTGTCGATACTAAAGTGACTAATTACCTTAACTAAAACATGAGACCCATGACTTTGAATCATATATTCAAGAGACTATTTTAGTTTTTTATCAATTAGATTCTATAAAGATGTAAAAAAAAAAAAAATAGAATTAATTTTAGGTAATTCTTCTGGGAAGCTTAAAATAAAAATAATAAAAAAAAAATAAAAAAATCCAATATTTGTTTATGACTCCTCTACAGATTGTCAACAAGAAACTAAAGGGAATTAACATTTGACAGACAATCAGAAGTGATGATATATTTACAGTGTATTACTATAGGCATTGTATTTCGTGGCTCACTAATATATAAGACTCCTATATCTACTAGTGGTGTGGAGGGCTTCACATCCAGGTAAAAATAGCATATTGGTAGCCGAGGAATGGAATATAAACAGCAAATCTAATGTAAAAGTAGAAATTCTTGCCCAAATTTTGTATACCACTTGAATAAAAGGGTGAATTCAACATGCCATGCAAAAAATATGAGATTTATGGTTATTGCTAACTTTAAGAACATATATTGTGTTGAATTGTGGGATTTTTTTTAAAGGCAAAAAAAAATAAAAATTGGTAGGGCAAAAATGTAATGTATGGAACATTGATTAAATGTTACCTGATCTACAACAAAATTTATCAAGAAAGGAAATGATAAAGAGGTTGATTTTTGCAACTATTGATGGTTTGTCAAGGATTTAGAATGATTTCTGTGCTACTACGCAAATTCCATAAAATTTAAATTCTGATACAAGTATAATTTGTTCAAACTTCATTAACACTTAAATTTCTCTAGGTGAAACTTATCAAGTTTTGATTCAAGACCAGAACATTCAGGTTTTAAATTTCATGCATCTTGTTCATTAAAATTATAATAATAGTCCTTTTATAACTCTTTTATCAAAAGGGCAATACATTCATAGCGTTTTATTTTTAGGTGCTGTATCTGATATTTTTTTTAAATGCATTGCTAGTCTATCAATACTTTATATTTGGTAGATAACTCTGTCTTAATTTGTTAAAATTATTTAAAAGCGTTTGTTTTCTAATTTAAAAATAAATAAAAACTCAGCAATTCTAAAGGATAAATCTATATGAAACTGTACCCATGGCATGAAGGGTTAACTAAGATGGCCGCCATATGAGGGTTGTGTTACCATGGAGATCATCGTTAGTGGGATGATAGTTGGTCTTACCTCCTCATGAAATATCCACCTATTGAGGTTAGGAATCAGCCCCTTGTCATGTTTTATCTTCTGAATCTTTAAAAAATTGTTGCATGTTTCATCAAATTAGATGAGATGTCCATATTTTGTTATCATTTTTTTTTTTTTATATAAATTTGATTTACATAATGGACCATTTCTGGAAAAAGATCTTTGGTTTCTTAAAAAAAATTGTGATATATATGGTTTTGCATAACGTTGTCAAGTTAGCACAGATGAAATTACAGATACTTCTTCTTAATTATTTCATTTCAATATTTGTGTCAGATCACATCCATTAGTACCTGGTACATATTATGTACATGTACATCCTTTCAGCATTGTTTTCACCTAAATTTTAAGTGTGTTTTCAAAAGATTTGGAAAGTAGTTTGTATTTTAAGTGGATTGATATGAGTACATGTATTTAGTTAAAATTATATTTTGCCAAATTTGCATGATCCCGAGAAATTGAGGTGAGAAAATGTCCACAATAAAAATATAATTTCTGATTTTTTTTCCACAAACTAAACATATACCCAATAAAACTGCATAATTTCTTTTTCATAGCATTGATACCTCCATTAAGAAAGTGACTACCAGGTATTTACTAGACTTTTCCCCCATAATACTTTTGAGTTTTTCAAATGAACAACAACTACATAAATAAACAAACTAACCATTACATGTACCGTAATTGTTGTGAAACAACAGATTAAATGTGATTGAAAAAAGAAATTCCATAATTTCCGAGGCCATGACAAAATTTCTTTGGTACAGCATATTTCAATTTTGTTCCTTTTGCAAAAGACACGAGTTAAAAATTCACTTTTTTCAATCACTTCAATTTCCTTGTCAAAGATAATACAATTTCCTATCATTTCTATGTCCCATTGTAAAAAATAAAGTCATTCACTTTTCAATCCCATAATAATATCACAAGGTATGTTCTAAGTGAACTTATAAACAGTCAACAACAAAATCTACATTGTTTATTGAAAGATGAAACCTGATAAATAAGATTGAGAAAGGTATATGATCTGCATTTCCTTAGACTAGCAATTGCTTAATGTAAATTTAGAATTTGTAATGCTAAATTTCCGTTTGAATGTGGTAGATGGAATAACATTCCAAGAGAAGATAGAAAATGTATTTTTTGCAACTTGAATGAAATTGGAAACGAATATCATTATTTGTTTAATTGTAATGATCACCAGATACTGCAAAACAAAAGAAAGTTCATGTCGAGATACTATTTTGAAAGTCCTAGTACTTTCAAGTTCAATACATTATTTAATTATGTCAATAATGAAGAATTAATTTCACTTATAAAATTCCTTAAGCACGTAATTGAGCGAATTAACACTGGCCATTAACACCATGATTTATATGTAAATTGTTCTATATATAGGTATATGTAAATTCTCTACACTGTAACCAGTTTGCGAGAATACAAGACTATAATATAAAAACAAATTATGTAAACATTTAAGATTTTTTTATCAGGTCAGTCACACTTAAACACACCGTGTCAGATTAACAATTAAATTATCAATCAAGGTTATCAAAATGCTTTGTTTGATGGTTAAAAAGGATTAGGAAACAAATAAAAGATAGCATCTCATGGCCATGCTGAGGTCTCAATGGGTATGAGTATAAGTAATCCCTGATGATTAGATCCACTTAATGAGAGAATTATATGGCAACCTTCATAACACAAAGGAACTTTATTTACTGATATAACATCAGATAGTGTTTATATAATACAATGGTATATTTTATTGGACAAGACTGTATCGGATCAGTCTGTCAGGATCAACGGTTGAGATATAGGTCAGATATATTTACTGATATTAGATGACATGCATTTTTCCTACTTTCCCATTGGTTGGATCATAAATCACGCGGAGGTCAATAATTTGTAATATCTTTGCTTGGTCAATATTCATTTTATGACATCGTTTCAATTGTAATGTCACAAAGCTGTCTTCCAAACACAGACCACACATCCCTACAGTTTTCAAAAGTTAATTCTTGGTTAATGGTGAAAATTTTATTTTCTAAACAACTGATATAAAGGATTTCTATTTCCCTGGATACAATCACAGTTTCAGATGAGAAAAGGTAGAACCTGAAGTATTTTAAAAACACTGATTCCCTACAACCTAAATATTATAAACAAAATCTAAGCTGAATAATACATGTTTTAATTTTCATTTATTATTGATGCAGATCTTGCATGGTAGGTGCAGATTTCAAAATTATAAACAAACCACAGATGACAAATCACATCATATTCTTTTAATCAAAACCTTAATTACAATGCTGCCGAGACCACCTGGATACGACAAGCTAGTCACTGTGTATTGATACAATGTAGTTTCTTGTTTAGTTGTTTAAGTATTGTTAGGGATGTTGATGTTGTTCACGAATGTCAGACATAAAAACATGTTGAACCTAGCTACATTGAAGATTAGTTCACATTGACATTAAAAAACATCGCTACGACAACGTGTCACATGACCTACCGCCATATCAAAATTCCAAAATTTTGGAATCAGACCTCCGTCACGCAAATACACTTCCTCTGAATCCGACTAAAATGGGCAATGAATATGCATGAGTTAAGCATGAAAGAGAAAAAATATTTAAAAGCTTCATTTATGAAAGCAGTTTCATGCATATTCCGTTTTTGAGTTAGGCACATCTCACACAGGTACACATTCTACTTTCAAACACAATTATCAAAAATCAAAAAAGGAAACAAATACTGTATAGCACTTAAAATTTGCAGGGTCAATTTTTCGCTGTTTTGTATTCAGTACATATTCGCAGAGGTTACATTTCGCTTTACACCCGAATCCCATGTTTCGTGCAAAGTAGTGTGAGTGTCATCATTTCAAGGTTAAACCTCGAAATAAAGGTAAACTGTTTAAAAATACTGATCACCAGCGCCATCATCCGCCAATGACTTCATTCAAAAGAAAATCCAATGAGTATGTACCTTTGTAGGAGTTAACTGTGATCAAGTTATCCCTTACTGTGTATATATACTGTGTATATATATGTAAGTGTTGTTTTTACATGGACTGCCCATGCCAGTTGTCTGGTTATAATCTGATTTGAGTTCATTTAAGCTTGCATAACAGAGTTGGGTTACAAGATAATCTTCAACATTGTGAAATGGTCTGTAAAAGTGGTTAACATTTTCGATAATTTCGCTGGTGTTTTAGAATTTGCGGATATTAGTCAAAGCGCGAAATAAAAAAAAATGCGAAATATAACCACTATACAGTATATATAAAACCTTACACATCTTGACTGGTTGTTTGATTTGTTTCAGAGTTACTTCCCTTACATGATTGTTATCTATGCATATTTTAACTCACTACCCCTGAAATTCCATAATGAACCATTCCAACCTTTGAAATGGAAGAGTTCAAATGTGTTTTCAGGAGTGAATGAGTTATGGATTAAAATACAGTTACTCTCCTGTAAACATTATTGGGGACTAGGAATTCTAGTTTTCATTATTTGAAAAAATAACATATAAAATAAATAAATATAAATAAGTAAAAACTTTTGATGTCAAATATGGTATTAGTCTTGAAACTGACATTTGGTCACCTTATTTTAAAATATTGACATATAAGTTTGTGGAAGGACATGCAGTCAAACCATTATAAGTTTATCAAAGTTTTAATAAGGTGAATTCAATTAGTACATAAACTTGTAATAATTTGTACGTACATTTGTATTTCTTAAAAAAAACTATGATGATAACATAAAACTATAAAAAAAAAATCAATTCACTGATGATTTTTTTTTTTATTGAACTAAATCACTTTGATATCCAGGTAGATTTTACATTAACCTTCAAATGACCTTGAAATGTACATTCTCATTAAGGATACAATAGCTTCACATGAAACAATATTTAAAAATAACTTGTGCCTGAATAAGGTTTCATGACAAACAAGGTCAAGGTCAAAGATTGATTAGAAAAATGATAATATTTTATTAATTTAATTCCTTAATATCATAATTAAATATGTTAAAATCAACCAGCAGCAATATTTAACAAATTAATGTCAGCTTATTTCTCAAGGTCATTCAGTGGCGGATCCAGAGACCTATCTAAGGGGGTTTCCAAATTTCCTGGGGGGGTTTCCAAGTGGGACAAAATTGAGGAAAATGGTGAAAATACATGATTTTTAAAGAAACTTCTCAGGCTGGGGGGGTTTCCTGAAGCCCAATAAACCCCTCTGGATCCGCCACTGTCATTCAATGACGTAACAAGGTCAGCAAAAACTGGGTTAATTCTGCTAAATGGTAATGCAAAAAGTTAAACTAAACCAACTCAAAATTATGAGCAATAGCAATAAATTATAGTTAGATTTCTCAAAATTGAACAATTAATGATACATCGAATTGTCTTGACAATTTCTAAGGCTATATGCTACCTAACACTTTATAACTTTCATCTATGTGAAAAGAGTTATCTCCCTTACAAAACAAAATAAAGTAAATACTGGCCCATGCATTCTTGTGTATATTTAAAATATGTCATTGATTAACCATGTTAAAAATACCATTTAAAACATGCAAAAAAATAATTATGAAAGGTACATTATTTTTCAAAATAGAGCTCTCTTTGGAAAGGAGATTCATTTCAATGTATGGTAGCATATATCCTTAAGTCACAATGCTGTATTCAAAGTCACATATTAATCTTTCTATTTATGAATTCATTAATTTATTTTTAGTTTTCTTGATAACTTAAATCATTTTTTCCAGTTATTGAAAATTGACATCTAACTAATGAAACAACATCTGAAAGAATATACTAATCTCAAACGTTCTGACGGCTAAAAATGTTTTCCTAAAATTTCAAGCCATCCATTTATACGCAAAGATAGCTAGGAATAAACCATTATATACCCTCTGGTTACAATATAGACTCTCCTGTCTATTGACATGGACCAGTTTACTATGGTTCAGAGGGAGACAAGGTTCACACAGCACCCATTACCAAAGCACATAATACACTTTAAAAAAATTCAAATTCAAATCTTTATGATTAAGTTCTGAATAATCTAGCTTATAAATATTCACAAATGGTTACTGCATATGACAATCTAACGGTTCCGCTAGCTTTTCAGAAAGGAGGATTTAACTGAACTTGCTGTTAAAACTAACAATTTAAGTAAGACGTAAATCCAATATTTGAATATCCCAACTTGGCAGAAAGAAATGAAAGTAGGTTATGGTCATTTTATTTTTACCAGAATTATCGAAATATTAATATTTTGAATTATAACAATTAACATACAATTCTTTTTTATTATTTTTTTCTTTTTTATTGATTGTTTTTATATTGAAGTGGGTGTTTTTTTAGAAATGAGATATATATATTTCTCATAGAATTTTTGTAAAGAAACTCAAAAACAAAACAGTTTGACAGTTTTGAATGGAAAGCATGTCAGATTTAGAATATTCATGATCACATGAATCATTTTATGGTAGGTATAAGTTTCAGTTTCAGAAATGTCCCAGCAAGATTGAATCCCTATCAACTACAGTCAGTCTATTTCTTGTTGTATTTTGTAATAAACTTTAGAAAAAGATTAACATCTGCAAATCTGAATGAACACCTTTCAATGTATTTTTCAAACTACGAAGTGTGGGATAAAACGTTTCATCTGATAGAGTATACACTTTCTGCTACGGGTTGACAAGCAAACATTGTAAAAGCCAAGTTGACATTAAACTCTGGTTAGGGTCAAGGTCAAACACAAGCCCAGTAGACCTACCTCCTCATCAAGGGACCAGGATTGTGGGGTGGGAGGTGTTTTCTCCTCCATTTCCTCCTCCTCCTCCTCAGTCTCTGTACCAGTCTTAACAAGGGGAGACAAATCACGGACATATCAACTCCCAGACTCATACTCTCACAGTTTATTATCAATACTCGTCATCAGTTCAAAGGATGAAAAAATAAAATGGGTATGTATGATGTGAGTTGAAAAGTATTATCTTAAGTCAAAATACAACTTTGATGTAGAAAAAACATTCATCTGGTATCGTGGAGATTTCCACAAGCAATCTGTTGGCAACTGTGTGAGGTTTCTCTGATACAAGGTGGTGTTAAGATCTGTTAGCAAAATGAAGGAAGTAGGGTTTGGGGAATAGTTCAAACTGCAACTTAACTCGGATGTTTCATCTGGGGTTTAAATTGTATCAGAATTTGTAGAACTCCAAGCAGAGCTTGGTAGGGAATTAATTGTCCTGTAGCACTTTTAAAGCTTAGGTTACACTGACATTTTCTCAGAGAGAGGTCTGTTACAAGAGACATTATGTCATTTAGGTGGATGACAGTAGAGAAATCTCCCTGAAAAATGACATCATCCACTGCCAGTATACAGCGAATCTCTTGTAGGAAATTCTGAAAAAGAAGTCCTAGGAATTTTACAGTAGGAAGAGTTATGAAACCTCACCTCATCATCCAGACTATTCGGCTTTGGAGGGGGAGGTCTGGGAGGAGGCGGTTCTTCTTCCTCCATTCTCTCCATCTCTTTCTCCATCTTGATGAGGCTGGGGGGCTCCAGACCAAACTTGTAACCTATTCTGGCTAACTCCAGAAGGCAAAGTACCACTGACTTCTCAGCTGTGTGAGATACTGGAAGCAAGAAAACAGATCAAATAAATAAAGAACAAAACTCCTGACATACAAGAACAAATTGACCGTAAGACCTCGATATAATGCCCTTCGTTTTATTTGCCATTTTGTTAACTGCGAATATATTTCAATGTCCTTTTTTCTTATTTCTTAAGAATTTCTTTATACATTTCCCTCAATTTATCACCACTTTATAATGCCAAAATTTATCCGGACAAACGGTGGCAGTATAACAAGGTCTTACTAAATATTAAAACCAAACCCTGCAAACATTCCATGAATTTGGTATCCATGTAGGAGAAACAGTTCAAAATTTTATTAAAAATATTTCTTATCCAGCACTCTTTGCTACCACTTACTTCTTCATTAGATACAGTAAGTCCATGCGACAAAATGTTTGTGATATATTGAAACATTTCCATGTTAACTGAAGATGGTTTCTGACAATAATTCACCAATCAAAATGTTTATTTTTTTTATCATTATTTTTCAAGTAAAGAAAATTAGTTTAAAATTTTTCAGAAATTCCATCCATGAAATGTTTTTTTGTAAGATCTAGAAAAATAAGAAATAGTTTAGACATAAAGTAAAAGAGCCAAATATGTTTAAATGCATGCATCTAAACTATGATAATTCCTCATGCTATTTATTTGGCTAAATCAATAAATAGACAAATTAAAAGATATGTTTAGAAAAGGTAAAAACTGAGAACCCTTGGATTTGAAAGTAGACTTATAATTTACCACACAAAGAAACCGCGTAGTGCTGGTTGGCTTATAGTCCATTGGGTAAGGATTTGTACATTTTATATATCCATTTTTAATGCATGAAGTTTAAATAAATACTTTTTCCAATATCATCCTACCTAAATATTCCGTCTCAAACATCTGATCATCCGCCATCCCAAAGGCTTTACACCAAGAGAGGAAGTTGGCTGTGTTGTCACGTGCGAACCAGCTCCCTGACGGTGCATTGCTCTTACACCGCAACTTGTAGTTGGGCAGGGGCTAAAAAACATTGAGCATAGAGTCAATATTCATAATTAATGGTGAATATTTAGAACATCATGAACATTCAAAATATTTTGTGATTGCCATGCTCGGATTGCTAAGTGGCACATTTGTATGACCTACGACATTCCTGAACTTCCATTTATAAATCACAGTGACCTAATTTCCTAATCTCTGTATATGACCTGTTTATGGCATATTCCTGATGTTCCACATATAAATCACAGTGACCTAATTTCCTAATCTCTGTATATGATCTGTCTATGGCATATATTCCTGATCTTCCACATATAAATCACAACGACTTACTTTCCTTACCTCTGTATATGACCTGTCTATGGCATATATTCCTGATCTTCCATATATAAACCACAACGACCTACTTTCCTTACCTCTGTATATGAGCCGTCCATGACACTTTCGTGAGCCTTCCTCTGTATAACCTTCGCCATTTGACACAAATAAACACCATTGTCCAAAACATCCATAAAATTGTCTGCATTGACTTCCATACCTGGGATATAAAAAAATACTAGTTAAGGGCATATGCTATCTTACTGACGCACTAACCATGTTTATTTGACAATAAGCTCATGCGTGATAATAAGCCTGTCCACATCTATTCCGTCTTTGCGTATTGCAGAGTTATCTGCTCTTGTGAGCAGGTATTGATTGTTACATCAATGGTTTGTGAGAGTAACGTCATCAATTTTGAGAAAACGACGCAATTTTCTCACACAAACCAATGACGTAACAATCAATACCTGCTCACAAGAGAAGATAACTCTGCAATACGCAAAGACGGAATTGCAGTTCAGTAGAAATGGCAGGAATTATCATATTTTTCCTGTAATAGGCTATGCACCCTCTATTTTGAGTCAAAGACATTGTATTGACCCCCTGGGCTTAGTCATGGCATCTATTTTCCAAAAGATTTCCATGTGAAAAATATATTTGCTAGACTGCACATGTAAATAAATGTAATGCATTAAGTATTTCATAGATTTTTTTTTTTTTTCAATCGGACCAATTACAGCATTTATTTAATTCTACTAGCTGAAGCGACCTTCAATTGTTTGTCCACACTGCACTATAAAGGCACACCACTCTAAACTAGACCAGAGAAATACATGTACAACTTCACTATAATTTCCGTTCAAATTTTATATTCCACCACCTGAAATGTTTTTTTTTCTAATTTTTCGATAACTTTTGACCATACTAAGCATGAAAAGATGGCTTTGTGTAAGCAATTTTTTATAGATCATTACTGACTAAAGCAAACACTAGACCAACTTTAAGTGGCGCCTTTGCTGCTAAATATAGCAACCTAATAAATCCATCATTAGCTTACAGGTACATATGTAAGCCTGTCACTAGATAAGCTTACTTGTTTATCACTAGTTTAAACTTTTTTTTCTTAATCCATTTTTTATTTCTTAAATTTAATTTGAAAATACAACACAAACTGAGACATGGAAAACAGTTTAATTTTGGTCTTTTTCTGAAACTCAAATTGTACTTGACAGGGGCCATAACTCCTGGTAGTCATAGTTTTCTTTACCTTAAGTGTGTCTTCAAAACTTCCACTTAAATTTCGATTTCCTTTTTTTTTTAAATAAAAAATTAATAACTAAAAAGTATATCAACCCGTTATGAAGTATACATAATATATAGCATTACTTAAACAGTAAATTTAGTCAATCCCAAGGTCATTATAACGGGCCAATAAACATTAAATCATGTCTGTTTACCAATAATTCTAATGTGGCATAAAAATGTCGCAAGCAAACCCCTGTTTTACACTCATTAACACATGCCAGGCATTGCTTACCTGACCTCGGAGTGCCTATCTCTGTACAGATCAACACAGATTACATTACAACACAGGTATAATACAGGTAGCACAGAGCCATTTATATAGTTAATTAGATTAATCACACCTGTATATACAGGTAAATAGCATACTTTATACACCAATGTGGAGCTTAACTGTTCAAAAGTAAATTGATTTTTTTTAGCAAGGCTACAACTTAAGTGACTCTACTGCCATGAAAGGCTGAAAGGAAAGTGTTGTGTATACAATTACCGTATTTGACCTACGGTAATACCCAGTTAAGTACTCCTGACAATTTAGGAAAATTTGAATGATTGTGGAACTTCCCATGACTTTAAGGTACCTTTATTAATAACTGTTAAGTTATGGGAGTGCTGACAGGGGTACTTAAGAATCCCTATCCCTCTTATACCGAATACCTCGAAATGAAAGACTTTGTTTAAAGTGTAATTTAGGCGATATAGAGGATGAATTTTATTCTTGTTTGTCCATTTTACAAGTAAGAACAAAATACATTGATAGAAATTACAGAATTAGACTGTCTATGTATAAATTAATTAACTTACTTTCTGTTAGAAATAAGAAGAAATTGAATAATCTTTCCAAATTTTTAACTGCTGCTTCACAACTGAGATCAAATGAACAATTACATGTATATTGTCCATCCTCCATAATATGTCTGTATTGCTGTGTATCACTCACTCAATTTGTAAAATGTGTTGTGATGTTTATGCTGATTACCCGAAAGGCTAAAGGCCAATAAACGTATGAACTTATGGACACCAAAGCACAAGAAAATTCCATCATTTCTTTCCCAGTATACAGTAACTGCCCCTATGTTTTGTTACAGGTATAGCTATCCCAAACAGAGCCAATTAAGGTACTTAATATGCATAATGTAGCTACTGTTGACAGGTTAGAGAAATAGTATAACAATTGGAGGTCCAGGGTTCAAAACCTAGCTGGGATTGGACCCGTTGCATTTTTACATTGACACAAAGTCTGTTGATTTCTTTTTTTGTTCACTTCAGGTTTATTTTGGGTTTTTTCCCAAAGTTCTGCAAAATATGGTGATTCTATAATGAACTTGTTTATAAAAGCTATAAACATGCCAGAAAAACACGCATCCAGGGCATAGTTTTTGGCAGTGGATCAATGCAAGGATCTGTTAAAGTAAAGAAGGGGGGGGGGGGGTTATAAGATTCTTTACGGCTATTGTCCATAGGAAACAAGGTGGCTTATATTATAAGGTTACAATATCACATAAGATTAATGATGGCATTTATAAGAATTGAATTATTGTCAAAGGTTAAATTCCATAGAGCCCACTAAATCCTTTTACCTCAAGCGGAATTGGCTTTTAATGATATATGTCAAACTGTGAAATATATAATACTGTATATAGAAGTGCTGCAAGAAATACAGTCCACCAAATCAATAGCAGCACTTTATGCAATGGCCACTTTAACAGCTGAATTCAAGGAAAACTTAATCCTTTGAAACTGATCATTTTTGCATATCCACAAAAATTTCTTGGTTCTGTTTATCTAATTTCTCAATTGTGACGTCATATTATAATCTGTGAGTATGTGACGTCATTTCATTTTATGACATCACAGCAGCTCCTATTACTTGCGTTCATACGAAGAATTCATGACATTGTACTCATTTAATAACAGCAATTACCCGCATTTTTCTAACCATAAGTCCACCCATGTCAAATACAGTTCAGTAGAAATATTGACTTTAAACAAGTGATATTTCAGGATCCTGCAATAAGCCCGCCCCCTAATTTGCATCAGAGTTTATGTGATTGTGATTATGGGCTTATTGCAGGACATACAGTATAAATATGAAAAAGGGTCATAAATATGGTAATTCACATACCTAAGTGTTTGCCGAGCCATTCTGCTAGGTCTTCCTTCAGTGGACCAAGACTCTGTTCTTGGATTTCTGCTAATTTTTGTTCCATGACATCCTCTTCGACCTCTATTTCCTCAAACCCATTTGAATCCATTGATGCGAGACCAGACGCCTTCATCATCTTTGGAGTCATTCCACCGGACTCCCGATTGGCTGCCATGGCAACTGCCAAGAATTTCTGTCCCCTACATCTTGGATCCTGTGAAGAAAGAAATCAAATCATTATTTAATCTATGCAGGTCACCACAAATTCAGTTGTCCAAGCACTATCCAGAAGTCTTGTAATTTGAAGAGAAATTGGAAGCCGTGATGCCCAAGTGGTTACGGCCTCTGACATTCTGCTACCAATAGCCCTCCACCACTGGGTTGCAGGTTCAAGACCCGCCAGGTACTGGTCACAGGTCGATGGTTTTTCTCCGGTAACTCTGGCTTTCATCCACCACCAAAACCTGGCACATCCTTAAATGACCATAGCTGTTAATAGGACGTTATAAACACAAACAAACCAAAATTGAACAGAAATCATAATCAAATACTGGAAGACCTTTCATGAACAATTATTGATTAAAATCGGATTACACGAACTTTGGTAATTCTTTTGTGAACCTCACAATCATTGTCTAAGAAACAATTTTAGGTGAATAATAAGTAGAAACTTACAGAAAACGACAATTGGAATCTACTGTGTAATATTTAAAGAAATTGACAACCAGAAATTGCACTAAAATACTCTCCAGCCTGTTGTGTTTTTGGGTCTGGATTTCTATTGTTCTACTGCCTTCGTATATTGATGTGTTTTACCGGACTGATTGACATTTGTTTATACAACAATGTCCCAGTTATCCAGCAGTTTTACAATGGAGTGACTTCTGCTAATAACTTATTAAGATTGCTAGATATGCTCTGATATACTACCAGATAAATAGCATTCAAAGTTTTACTCATTACCCATCATATAAGAAATTTCAAATAAAGTATTCTGTATCCTACGCATCCTGTATTTGCGTGCACTGTGACCACATAATAACCTAGAAAACCAGCAAACGCCGTTTTTACAATCTAACATTTTCCTCATTTTATTTTACGTCCTTTTTAAAACACCAAGTTTTGCTGGTGGAGGAAAGCTGGAGCACCTGGACAAAAACCACCGACCTGTGGCCAGTACCTGACAACTGCCCCACATACAATGTAGACCTTGAACACTTGACCCAGTGGTGGAGAGCTCGTGATCACAGACGGCCAGATGCCTTAACCACATGGCCACAGGGGCAAACATCTTCCATTCCATGGTCCAACAGTTACATTTTTATAAATTGAATCTACACCAATCCTTTGATTTATTTCACTTAAAAAATTACGATTGTATATACCTATTCTGACATCCTCAGTTTAAAATGGCAGTTTTGTGTTTGTTCTACAGAGTGTCAGATTACACAGGTTTCACATGATACAACCTGAAGGTTCCAGCCTGTCTATAATGTGAAATGACTCAAGCTCCTTGATTCCTTCATATCAGTACAGTGACACTTGTATGGCCCCCAAGTGGTGACATCATCAGCAGACATCGAAAAGTCATGTGACCCAGACAGCTGTTGTTATAAAAACTTAAACCCTAGATCAATAACAGACTTCACATGTAAGCTTTGCAGGCAGAAAAATATATCCCTGTCTTGATGTTTCTATATCACTTTTAAAGCATGTCTGAAGATTTATAGAATACTAAGTATTCTGTAACTACCTTTTGTGTAAGACAGTAAAATTTCAACCCATGGGGCAAGATTCTGAAATGAGTTGTGCATGCTCGTGCAGAGGGCAAGACATTTAATTAAGAATCTTACATCGAGAGACTGGGGTGAATTTTCTGTCTTTTTAATTACTCCTTAAGAAGGGAATGATATAGGTGGAAATTTCATAAAAATAAACAATGATTTCATAATTTATAGCAAATTTAACCTTTTGTTCCGTGATTTGCTATTGTTGACGTGATGTCATACAATTGTTATGACAGAAGAATCCCACCCCTCCTGTATTTATACTAAGGTCAGAACAAATTATCTTTCCCTGACCCGAAGTGTGGATATCCTTGTTTAATGGGAGAGAAATCCTTTTCTCCCACACTATGATTTGTTATGGGTGTGTTCTGCAATAGCTTGAAAAGATCAGCTTGTCTCGTATTATATAATGATTGAAGGCCCTACATTCAATTTCTGGTCTGGACCCTTTGCAATTTCTTCATTTATAACTTATTAAATCTTATATTTCATCTCTATAATAGTTCCATAAGGTATGGTTTCTTTTCAGAAATAATTTATCAAATCTTTTAAATAACATTTGAAACGAAGGTCAGATCTGGGTCAGGGTTGGTCCAGAATATGACCTTTATACAGCTAGCAGTATCGCAGAAGCAAAACAATGAATAGAAACCATCCCTCTGGTTGAGTTTTCTGTGTCGTAACTTCATTGTAGGGCAAGATTCTATAAGTGTCCAGGACCAGGGAAGTCGCATAAAACATATATTGTACAGACATTTATGGATCTCTTCATTAAACATCAGATTTAACCATAATGACTAAAAGGGGATCAACTTGTTTCAGCTCAAAAAACTGATACTTCATTGACAAGTCTATAAAACTAATGTACAATCCTTCGATTAGTCATGAACATACAATTAACACTAAAGACAATCCGGATTCAAATTTCACAACTCTGAGGACCAAGGTTGTGTTAATAGCCCTGGACCCGATTACTGTCAGATACTGTGTCATTAAAATTGTCACTTGATATCGGAACAGGCCCCAGGAATGCTGGAATCAGTCTGACAGGTATAAGGTGGTAAAACCAAGGTGCCACGAAACAATAGTCATTAGATTTCTAATAATCCCAGGACTATAGTACATTTGTAACGTAGCTGTGTGTCTGTAGTGTTGTCTACAGACAAGTTATAGTAAGGCTTGGGTTTGTTGGGAGAAGGCCAGTACTGTCATGAACTAGCTGTGACCTTTTTTCTAAAAGCTTTGTTAGCTTAACGTGGTCAATGTTAAATAAAAAACAATAATTAAATAACATATTTTTCATACTGTCCGAGAATTAACCATTATTTTTTGGTTTGTTGTCATAAGTACCCCTGGTTATTCATCTTAAACTCACTGCATGGATATCTTTGAATTGCTAAGAATATTTTAAAAGAGGATAAGAAATTAATTGGGATAACAAGAATTTTTCAATTATAATATCTTTACAGGGAATCAGTTTTATTAAAAAGAGCCATGATGAACAAACGAAGTAATTTATAAGCTTTTTCACATCAGAACATACGTTTTAGCTCCATCCAGCTTCTTCAAAAATTTATCTGTTATCATACATTTGAAGACACATCCAGGAAAATTAAGAATTTTCCTAAAACAAAACTTTTAACTCAAGTAAAGCAGTGCTCTATAACTGACATTCCACATAACGACTAAATCTGATGAAAGAATGGCAGTATGGGGTAAATATTGTTAAGCTGAGTAAGCTTTCAAATAAATTGCATGTCACTTGATATGAAATGAAGAGTATTACAAAATGGAAATAAAGTCAGATTAACAACACAGAAGTTATTAAAAATTGGAATTCAGTTAAAATAAAATAAATTCAACATGTCCTCTTAAATTACTATTTCTTGCGTAACAATCAGCTACTAATTTTACTTAAACTGGAGGGATGAAAATACTCATTACCATTTCGTAAAGTAACATTTTACATACTGTTTACCGGGCAACTTTCGCCCGTCAAACTTTTGCCCTACACTGGTAAAATCAGTATTTGCCAAGTGTTATTTTTACCGTTCACATTTAATTGCTAATTTTATTATGTTGTTTACTCATATTGGCTCCTATGAAAAATGCCAAATTTATTTAACTGCAGTGAAAATTTCCTGGACAATGATGATCAGTTCTAAGTAAACAGATTAACAAATAATTTAATCTAGAAAATATCTGCAAGACATGCATACATCATTTAGCTGTTAACCCTCTCTCATTAGGAGAGAGACTTCCACATTTTGACCAAAATTTACCAATCTCCCTCGAAACTCCCTCATTCAAGTCCAAACTCACACAAACTCAAAATCTACATCCTGTGGTCAAATGATCTCCTAGTTACTGCAGGGTGTGTGTAATGATCATAACAGGTGTGTCTGAATCAAATGAATGCCTTTTGGAGTTATTTCGATACATAGAAAGGAAAAGATAAATTGAGCAAAGAAGTTTCAGTCGCGTTTCACTCACTTTCTCCCTCATTTGAAATGTGGAATGAGGAAGATCTTCCTCATCGGAGGTTTCAGAGGTTGACACCACTGTATGTTGTAAAACAAGCTGTACCCCTCAGCCCCCATAGATATCAGTGTCAAAGTGAGACAGTTTTCTATAAAAAGTAATGATGACCTTCACCTTGGCACTAGAACTCTTATATTAAACCTTCATATTAATTGTGATCATAATCCGTTACAAAAAGAAGTTGCTAAAGTACTTATGATGACACCAATTAGTTGACAAATTTCTATAAATAGTAACAGTGACATTGGCCTTATGACCTTCGGACCATAGGATATTCGAGGTATTTTTAAACTTAATTTTTATAAAACGTTTGATCAAAATCTGTTAAAAAATCAGCAAAGATGTGACAGGACATAAAAATCTGGTTACACTTACACCCATAAAACGGTTGGGGTGCACGTGGGGGTTGGGGGACAAGCATAAAAATATCAACACATCAAGTTAAGCTGACCAATCTTTCACTACACCTCCTGGAGTTGAACCTTACATTCTGTGATAAAGGTATTACACGATATGCACATATGACTGTATACAAGTTTACCTAAATCAATAGTCTACCAAGCTGGTAATTGGATTGTAAATGTTTGTATATATATATATGCATTGTTGTATGTGTGGTGTACTTTTAGACCTATAAACATGTCTAATTGACAAACATAAAACTTTGTGAGTGGTATAATCGTAACATTTAAAAATCAAAATTATACATAATTGAACTTTTATTGAAAAAAACCCTTATCAATTTATTCACTTTAAAGGGGTTAAAAGAGTACATTCCCAGGGGGAGAAATGTAATTACTTGTAAACAGCTCCTGTATTGTCCAACCAACATTTGTTAAGGTAGTGTTCCACCAGTATGTGTTGTACCTTCAAAGAAGAAGAGTTC